GACTTAACAGGCGTGTCCTAACGTTATTAAACGTCGGCGACTGAAGACTGTAGATGAGAATGGGAGCTTGAAATTGGTCTTCAGTAAGCGACTTCAACCGGAAGCGTTCGCATTCTCGGCTGACTATACGTACATTTGTGAGAATATCAGCATCTTCGTTCATTGTGAGCTTCAAACATAGACAGCGCGCATTGAATAGTGAGTTGTCTCCGAATTGTTGGCTCAATGAGCGATGACGTGGGTTTAGAGGTAGGATTAAATTGCAATACCCGTCTAGTTCACTAGGACCCAACTTTCGAAGTAGCAGCCGAACCTTCTAAGCATCATCTTGGTTAGCAAAATCAAATTTAAATAGATCTTGTGACCGTAGACCAATAAGCTAGTTGTTCGATGCGTCCCAGCCCTGCTAACAAGAGGAAGAAGTCCAAGCATGGAACGGGCCCGTATATTCCGTAAGCCAGAAGCACGAGTGAATAATAACAACCACAAATCAAACTTATATATACAGCATAAAACTGTCCTCGGGAAGTGTAGCAAAAATAGTATACTATAAATACACAACAGACCAATAGCGTTAAAGATTCTACAAGTGGAAAATACGATATGAAGGTGAAATGTACGCTTTTGGTGCGAAAACTAAGAAATTTAAATTCCCAAAATGAAATTATAAAATGAATGCATTTACCAAGTGAGTTCTGGGGATCTAACATCCCCAACACCTCCCCCTTTAATAACGTGCGCTTCTGAGGTCCACTTGCATCCTGACCGTTCGTCGCTGTTGTCGGAGTGACCACCTTCTGGGTCGTAGATCGACCCTTCAACGAGCTTTTTCCTGTGTCAGGACTGTGGGTAGACTTAAGGTATCTAATAGGATGTCAAGAGGGGGATTCCCTTCTGTCGATGGGCAGACTGGGGCTAACCGCTTGCGTAGCTGGTTCCGATGTCGGGTTCACCTGTCTCTTCCTACCTCTACTTCACACATGACATGGCTTACTTCATCGCTCTCTTAATGACGGAGTCGTTCCTGAAAGTAGATTGTATATCAGCTACTGAGACTGGCAGAGCACGAATATCAGATGTCAGGTAACATTGCTCGTGGTCCTCTATCATTATGGAGGCAATAGCTGCATCTTCGTCGGCCGTATGGTGTTCGCTGATATGCCGTGACAGGGGTCTGTCTGACCAAATTGTTGAGTGCCCCGGTACTGAATGTCAAAATCATAACCCAACAGTATCAAAGCCCATCTCTGGAGACGGTTCGCAGAATGGACTGGAACACCAGATTTCGATCCGAAAATTGTGAGAAGAGGCTTGTGATCAGTAAGAAGAGTAAATCTTCGACCGTACAAGAATTTGCCAAAATGGCGTACTGCGAATACAAGGGGCGAGAGCCTCTTTCTCTATTTGACTGCCCTTTTTATTTCCGCTGAAGTTAATGTGCGAGATGCATGCATAATAGCTTTCTCTTTTGCGTCCGGGAACTGGTGTGAGATGACAGCATCGAGTCCAAAAGCTGAAGCATCTGCAGCCACAATGATTGGCATGGATGGATCGTAGTGTGTCAATAATAGTTCAGAGCTAATGATTGTTTTCAGTTTGCAAACTGCAGCTTCATTATGCATATATGACTCATGCATATTGATATTTGATTATCCTTTCCATTTGACTAAGACTTTCATAGCACCACTCCAAACTATGAGTGCACAATTACTTATTCTAGCGTTATATCTTGCCGCAATAATGAGTTATTTTTCCTTAATCATTCTCTATTTTGTTTCTGTTACTAATTCGACGATAAATACATAGTCGTTTATTCTTGTTCTGTGTTCATAAACACCCCTATTAAACTATTTGCGTATTTCACGTTTCCTTTATTTCTATTCCTTATTTTGTTCCTTTCCTTCTTTAAACTCAATTCAATACTCTTCTCAATAACACAGACCCTGATTTATTCATATTACTCTATGATTATTACTCTTTTTCCAAATATGGCAAATACAATGCTATCATTATTAAAAATGGTGTATTATTGCATTTTTGAAGGAACGCTTATGTACCCATCAGATGTTTGTGAATAATAATAATAATAGTTATACCGAGTGAGTTCTGTGGATCTAACATCCCCAACATTGGGTAGTCCAGAATGGCGGCCACTTTGGTTCTAAGGGGTCGATTGCCTTGAGCATCGATAGTGTGTCCTAGGAAGTCTACTGAGTCAGTTCCGATTTGGCATTTCTGAATGTTTACAGTAATGCCATGTTTTTGTAGTCGGTCGAAAACAAGATCCAGATGCTTGAGATGCGATTCTCTATCCGGACTTGCTATTAGACAGTCGCCAAAATACGCATGTACGAAGTTGAGACCTCGAAAAACGTCGTCTATGAACCCTTGGAAAGTTTGGGCAGCGTTTCTTAGACCGAAAGGCATTCGCGAAAATTCGTAGAGTCCGAAAGGAGTTATGATAGCTGTTTTCGTAATATCATCGGTAGCCATAGGGATTTGGTTATACGCTTTAACCAAGTCGATTTTCGAAAGGACAGTTTTACCTTTCAAGGTAGCTGTCAAATCGTGAATGTGAGGCAACGGGTAACGATCGGGAATGGTTTTGGCGTTCAATCGCCGGTAATCACCAGTTGAGAGCCAATCGTTGCTAACCTTTTTAGGGATCATGTGCAACAGAGATGCCCGTGGGCCGTTTGGCGGTCTTATGATACCTAAGCCTATCATGTGGTCGAACTCGTTTTTCGCCAACCTTAGCTTTTCGAGGGCCAGTCGGCGTGCTTTAGGAAATACACGTGGTCATGTAGTCATCATGTGATGTGTAACACTGCTGGTCACACACGGCAATTTCGGTTGCGTTTCGTATATCACAGAATACCTATCGAATAATGGTTGATAGGATGCTTCTATCGTATGCTTAATTGTGACTGGAGATAATCTGCAACTAGAAAAAGAAGTTATGCAGACAGGTGAATTAGTGTTTCCATCTATTAGCCTCCGTTCGCTCGTATCGATGAGTAGATTATAGTGTGATAGAAGGTTTATACCAATGATTGGCACAGAAACATCTGAAACAACGAAGATCCAGTGTATGTGTTTGCGTAAACCGACGTTAAGGTGAACATACATTTTGCTATACGTAGCGATAGCCTTTCCGTTTGCTACATTTAGATTTAAAACCGATTCGTGAAGCCGGTTGTTAGAATTCGCTGGGAGAACGCTAACTTCTGCCCCAGTATCGATGTCACATCTGTGGCGTACAACAGATGGCTATGCTCACCGGCTACGGTTGCCGTTAACGCGGGCCGGCTTGAAAGTTTCCCGAATCCTTTTTCGTGCCGGTCGATTTTGATTTGGGAAAGTTGCAGGGTTTTCTGCAATTTCTGGAAGACTTTCCATACTGGTTATGATACCAGCAACAGTCGGGGTTATCCGTCTCTCGTGGTTTAGAGACAGATTGCCTACGTAAAGTGCCTCTCCGCGGACTGTGTGACCGTTTATGTTCGTTACGAAATATAGGATAACGTGCAAGTGGATGACATAACTTTGTTACGTCATTCCAAATCGTTTGAGGCTTTTCTTTGACTGAAAAACCTCGGTATTAGAAGATTTGGTGATTTCTAAAATGCAGTCGGCAAATGCAGCCAGCTCGTCTAAGGCGTTGTTGTGAAACGAGATCAGCACAGCTTGCACCTGTTGGGGAAGTTTGGATAAGAAAAGGTTTTTAAATGGGCCGTCATCGAAAGTTCTTTGGCCGATAACCTCTCTCCTTCGTTGCAACTTGTCCGTCGCAGAACCGTGTTGCAGGTCAATGTTATTAAAGAGTTAGTCTGACATTTGTCTATCGGTTAGATCTCCGCGTTTAAGAATAGAACGTTTCAGTGTTTCTCAATTTTCAGAAACATCACTAGCAAACATACTAGGTGTTACGTACTTGTTGAATTCGCGCGGTAGTGCACGGATTACTGCGAGGAATTGTCCACGTGTGTCGATCACGCCGTGCTCGGAGGAGTCGGCTTCTGAGCAGCAAAACCAGGCTTCGAAGTTGTCTGGCCGGAAGGGCATCAGTTGGAACGAAGGTGGTGACATAGTCTTCAACTTAAATACCTTGGGTGTCTGTTCAGTCATAGTGAATTATCAAGTATGAGAATGAACGAGTGGACAAAATATATATATCCAAAAACACGAAAAAAATATCACAACGTATGAAAAACTAGAATAAGGCAATTATATATAGAATCCTAAAAAGGAACAGACTCACAGTTTGCAATTTGGTGTACCAGATCACGTCGGGCTCACCAATGAAGATGCCACAGGTATTCGGAGTTTGACAACGCTTTAGCCAGTAACACCTAACATGAATCGTACCCACCAAATGAAATCAAAAGACAGAAGTGAGGAGTTTCGAAGATATATTTGATAGGCTATCAATTTATCGAGGATCGACTGATCAAATCTGGCTAGCGATTGCAGGGGATGTTGAGCATGGCGTTCCCACTCGTGATCTGGTGCAGATGCATGACCGAGCGCCTTCAGCTAGGTGAGTCCATTAAAACTAATGTGATCATCATCCAATGTCGAAGACTTACAGAGCTATTTATTTTGGGGATTTATTTACCGCTACACGTCCTTGGTAAGCGGTTTGTGGAACTTCCGAGAAACCAGATGTCGTAAGCTTCGAGTTAGAGTATTACTCAATAGAAAAGGTCTTAAAATTATATTCGTTCACTTGACGTTAACTGTCGTCTTGAAGGATGATTGTGCACAGTTTAACGGATGTGACTTTTGGCTCGCCATTTACTGCACAGACCCAAAACCCAGATTGGTAGTGGCGATATTTACACCTAAAGGACAAATTCATTTGTGGCTGAACTCAAATTAAATCTGAAATTGTCTTGATTTGACCGCTTCCGCAAAACCTTACCAATTATCGAGGTAACGCACAAATCGTTTGACGATGTTGTGACCTTCAACTGCTCAGCAGCCTCCGTCAGTGGACGATGCGGCGTTGCTCTCATTTTTTGTTCACACATAAAGTGCTACGTTCCGTAATAAAACGTCGATCGCCGAGTTATGGATTGTCGCTCAGGTATGGTGAACAGTTATTTGGTTAATGATGAAGTTATCAAAGGTTACTGTCTACTTTAGTGTCTGGAAGTGATTCTGAGAGATGCCGTGGACCCATAAAATATCCACCAAATGTTTGTGAAATCCATTATTTTTTGCAAAATCACAAGGTGAAAGCAGTTGCTAGTGAATCAGAAGAATTCAAAAGAGTAGTACTCAGTATCTGGGATAAGATTCTTGAAAGTAGAACGTTTTCACTGTTTCTAATGTTTCTAGTTGGTGATATCGCTTTAGTAGAAAAATACTTAGATGTGAGAATCAATTTAGGAATGATCTTTAATGCGAACGATGTGTTGGCTTGTCTTAAGAAGAGGGACATGAGTCCTAGTGAGGTATATTTCATTGTTTCCCTTCTTACCTAACAGTGCATTTTCGGAGCTTTCATTCGTCAAAGTTGTGTGGCCGGAGATATTAAGCAGGCAAAGTAAGACAATTGTCTTTCATTCATGTCCCAGATCACACTTACGGTCGTTAAAGGAGTCTGGGGTCATTCCTAGCTCACATACGTTTTCCCATTTTCTTCATGGTTACGTTAAAGCTGGGTAAGTTTCACAGTATTTTCAGGTTAGCTCGTTGTTCTGTAACCAGTTATCATTTTGGCGCTACGAATCAAGCGTAGTTAATAAGTAGCTCTTGGTATATTTTTTAAAAATGTGCTGTTGGCACTTTTTCCTTCCATAAATTTTACGTACTCGTAACTCGTCCTTTGACAGAACATAACTATATCTTTTTTAGAGGCTACACAAAAGCTATAGTCAGTGTGTTTTTATCTGCTGAACCGTCTAAAGTGGGGGATCGCTCATTTATTTTTCCTGCCTACTAGCTAAAAGTGTTGGAATCTCAGGTAGTTTGACAGCATTCTTTAGGTTTACCGTTGTTACTTAGATATTTATACCCCCACAAAACTACATGGAATTAGAATCGGTCAGTGACAACGTAAAACCTAGTACGTATGTACATCAGTTCAATTTACCATAACAGACATACTTTCCGACGACCGACTCGAGTTGTATTCCTTGACATTAAGGTGGCGTTTAACTGTCGATCGTGTCTATCATTAAAAGGCATATCAAAGAAGTATATTAACCTTGTACAGACTCCCCACTCAAACACTTCGTTGAGTCAGGGATTATGGCAAAATCTCATAGGAATTATCAGCTTTGAGTGGTGTTGGTCAAGGTTGTTCGTTTCCCCCACTTTTATTTAACTTCGTCACAGACGCTTTTAAAGATAACACTTATCGTGAATTATGAGGAGTCGATCTTTTACCGGGAAGTTCTCTTTTGACTTAGAATGTGTAGATAATATAAATCTGTTTGAAGACACTAACAAATTGCTGAGTCGTTTGACCACTTTAAGCAGCAATGTAAGCATGTCGGTAGTACGATTAGCTCTGTCTACCGACTAAAGGATGGGTATACTACTCATCTCTTCTCTTTGTTATGGCCGTGAAACATAACCCTTAAAGTTAGAGGATGTTCGTAGGTTACCAGAATTCGATCATCAATGCCTTCCAACATCGCTCATATGTGTTGAGAACATCGAATTGACAATTATGAGGTTATGTGGAGAGCACTACGTATGGATGACAAATTGACTGATGGTTTGGTGAGTTTTTACCGACTGAGGTGGTTGAGACGTGTATTACTTGTGTCCAACCGCCGACTACCTTGACAGACTGGTTTATGAGCAAGTTGAAAGAAAGCTAGGGAGGTTAAACCAAAATATGGCATTACTCTATGATCTAATTGACTGTTGACCTGAGTCATGTTGGTAGATACAGATTAATTGTCTTGGGTCCACTCAATAACTTCTATCAATTGTTGGAGACTGGTTGAAATCTTATAGTTGTTCGCAATAGCACAGCTGTATTCGCTGTTTATCTACCTCTCTACCTAACTGCAAGTTTAAAGCTAGAATGAAGTAGGACGATTGAGCATAGGTTCAGCAATCTCTCGCCGTAGAAAACTTATAACTTTAGCAACTGGATTCCTTGCACAACCTTGAAATTAAGGATAGTCGGATTCACTATAGTCCACCTTTGTGATGTTCTGGAATTAGATACAGTTGAATAACCATTTTTTATGGGTCTTACTTAGATGATTCAGATGTAAGGCTTTTAAAATGTGGTTTCTGGGACGAAACGAATTCTGTATAAAAATTAATTTTTGGTTGTCTTAAGCGTCGAGATGTAACTATTTGGCATTCCGAGAAGAAAGTCAACCATCATCGCTTCCATACTTCAAAGTAGCAGACTCTAGCCCACAAATGTGACAGTTCCTGAGGGACTATAAGGTGTGATTAAGTGTCGATCGTAAACTTCATGAAGTAAAAGGAGAGGGTGATTTGCTTAGTTACATCACATCTTAATGTATATCATTGTAATCTCTGAAAAATTCCCATCATATTGAAAACACATGTGAATGAAGAATATTCTTTTCAATAGTCAGTCAGTCAGTCAGCTACAACGTAGGACCAGGCACATATGTGCATCGGTCCAGGTTGCCATACCGCATCAGCACAACAAGATGAACACCGGATTCATAGCAGTGGTTAGGTCAAAGGTGGTAATATATAAGAGAAAGATTGCATATAGAAATATAGTACAAGAAGAAAGAATTGGTTCGTAGAAAGAAAGATATGAAGTGATTTTAATCTCTTAGTTTAAGGGAAGACAGGGAGTGTATACACCGACGCCATTGTGATCGATTCTGAGCCATGTCACCAAGAGTCTCCAACCATTGGTTACGAAGTCACGCGGACCCCAACCAAGTAGTCTGCATCTACCAACATGGCTCAGACTAGAAGTTAGTGACTTCAAGCACTGATGCCACGTTTTGGTTTGGCCGCCCCTAACTTTCTTCCAACCATCTCCAACACCGGTTAGCATTGCACGTCGTGGTAATCGGTGTTCAGGCATACGTAACACGTGGCCCAACCATCTCAGTCGATGAAGATTCATAACCTCATCAACTGATTTACCATCATTCCCTAATACCCTGCGTCTAACCTCACTATTACTTACCCGGTGATCCCAGCAGATGCCAGCAATATTTCTAAGGCATCTGTGGTCAAATACTAGTAGCTTACGGGTGTCTTCTACTCTTAAGGCCATGTTTCGCTGCCGTAAAGTAAAACAGAACGGACTGCCGCGCAGTATACTCGTCCTTTTATTGATAGACGGATATCTCGCCTTCGCCAAAGGTGACGTAAGTTGGCAAAAGCCAAACGAGCTTTTCGAATCCGTGCTGAGATTTCGTCAGACACCAACCCATTAGGGCTGATCAGACTTCCAAGATAAGTGAAGTTGTCAACGCGTTCGACTACTTCACTCCCTATCCTTAGTTCAGGTGTTGACGCAGACCAGTCCTGAAGCAACAACTTGCATTTAGAGGGAGAGAAGCGCATTCCAAACATTCTGGCATTGTTGCTTAGTGCTACCAGAAGACTCTGCATTTTGTCAGCGTCTTCACCAAACAGGACTATGTCATCTGCGTATTCTAAGTCGATAAGTGGACCTCCTGGAAGGAGATCAATACCCGAGAATTCAGTCGACGAGAGTTTTATTTCCATCAATAGATCTATGATGAAGTTAAACAAAAATGGGAAAGTGGACAGCCTTGACGGACACCACTTGAGGTTGCAAAAGTAGATGACAGTTCGCCATAAGCCCTGACTCGACTAGTAGTGTTCGAGTAAAGAGCCTTCACAAGGTTTATGTACTTCTGAGGTACGCCTTTCAATGACAGACACTGCCACAGAATCTCGCGGTCTACAGAGTCAAATGCTGCTTTTAAGTCAAGAAAGACCACCATTGTCGGACGCCGATAAGTATGCCTGTGTTCTAGAACCTGACGAATGGTGAATATGTGGTCGATGCAGCCACGACCAGGTCTAAAGCCAGCTTGGTTCTCTCGTGTTTGCAGTTCACGAGTCTTAGTTAGGCGTCTGATAATTATCGAGGCTAGTATTTTAGATACTATATTAGTTAAACTAATCCCTCTGTGGTTGTCACAGGATGATTTTGACCCTTTCTTATATATTGGGACGATAAGTGATTGTGACCAGTCAGATGGGATAACGTCTAACTCCCAGATCTTAGCTAAAATATTAGTCAACCTAATCGCTAAAATTGGACCACCATCCTTAAAGACCTCTGGAGCCAGTCCATCTGGACCAGCTGCCCTTCCTCGTTTCAGATTAACTATAGCCTTTTGAACTTCAGCAAGAGTTGGGGGACCTACTTCAATGTTCCATTCACACTGTCTGGGAATGGAGGGTAGTTGTAGAGTAGCTGAAGGCCAGCTGAACTGTTCTCTGAAATGTTCCGCCCATCGTTCTAAACGTCTGGACTGGGAGCAGATGAGAGTATCGCTTTTTCCGAAATAATCTCACTTACACTTGACTTATTAATTCCAGTTTCTTTTATTAGTCTGTAAAGCTGTCTTGTGTTCCCTATAGTCGCCGCCTTTTCCATCTCTTTTGCTTTCGTTGCCCACCACTGCTCACGGTCGTTCCTTAGACTTTTTCTTAACCTAGATCTGATTTGTTGTCGCTCTTCATCATGTTCGGAACCTGATGGGACGAGTTTGCGAGAATCCATCAGTGTGATAGACTTGAAGAAATCCACTGGTTCTTTGTAACTCTGTGGTTTAAGTCACTAATAGATGTCACTGCTGTTTCCACAGCTGCTTGTATGTCTTCCAAGCAACATCTGGGTCAGCCTCGTCTTCAGAACTACCTAAGTGTGACCTCAGTTGTTCCTGGAACCTACTTTTGGTTTTCTCGTTACTCAACTCAGTTCTAATGGGTCTTTTTAATGTGGCTTTTTTGCGTCCAGTGAGGCGCAAGCAGATGCGTGCCCGTATTAGGGCATGGTCGGAGTCCAAGCAGGTACTCCAGAATGAGCGACAATCTTCTACCGACCCTCTCCAACGATGACTGATGGCAATATGGTCTATTTGAGTCCATCGTTGGTTTGGTGTAGGGGGTCGCCATGTTAGACGATGTCTCTCCTTATGCTTAAAATTTGTGTTTGCTAAAAATAAACGATTGTCTGAGCATAGCTGCAGCAGACGATCACCATTATCTGTTCGCTGTGCCGGAATACTAAAATATCCACCTAAATGCCTTTCTGTTTGGTTTAAACTACCTATCTGAGCATTAAAGTCACCCTACGAGTACTATGTCTGAGCGTTTAGCTTTCTGAAGAAGTTCGGACAGCTTTCTGTAAAATTCATCTTTCACTTCATCTGAGCTGCAGTCAGTGGGAGCGTAGGCAGAAACGACAAAAAGGCAACGACGTGTGTCCCTATCCTTCCGAGTTCTTACGGAGCCGTTCAGCCGAACAGCACATAGACGACTGTTGACGGGGATCCACTCTAGCAGTGCTTGTTCGCCCTCATGCTTAGTGCTATGCCTACACCTGCCAGTCCACGAGAACTGCCATCGGGTCACCAGATACACGGAGGGTGTATCTCGTTGGCTCTCCGTTTTGCCGAGGTGAGGTCAAGTGAATGACCACACTGGGATCCTGTATGCGTGTTTCGGAGACACAGCATACATCAATGGAAAGAGACTCTAGGGTTTTAGCCAAGGAAGCCTGCTGACCGATTTGACATAGGGTGCGTACGTTGAAGGCTCCAATGTGTAGTTTGGAGCGAGGTTTCAGTAGACCTGGGACAGAGTTTTGAGCACTAGAATCGTTGGCTATGGTGACACTTGAGGAGGAAGCCGAAAGAGGAAGTTTAGAGTTGAAAGTCGATGTAGGAGGAATAATAGGAATTGAAGAGGAGGTTGATTATGAATACAGTGGTCTTGAGTGCTGTTAGAGGTATGAGGGCGGTTATCACTTCCCGGTTGCCCACACCGAGGAAGGGTTGTTCTGGAGGTACCTGAAAAGGAAATTGGATTAGAGGTGGTCTCAGTGACCTGAGAGCGTGACCGCAGTGCCCAAGGGACAACTGCTTGAGGCCGGTCGCGCACGGCCTTTTCGTGGAAGGTTTTTAATGTGTTAGCTCCGTTCTTCAAAGGGCCTTACCGCCGGAGACGGAAATCCATGAGGTAAGGTGAGGTGTGCATTTTTAGGGTCGACCTTTTCTAACACCACCCCTCCTTGTGGGAAGGCAGCATCGCTGTCATGCTGGTTGTCTGAAGGAAACACCTTCTTTTCAATAAATCCTCTTCAGGTTCTGCAGTTATTTACTCAAATTAATAGTTCCTAATTCACATGTTATAATTTTAAACAATGTATTTGCCTTGAACCTGGCCACTTATTGAATTATTAATTTGAATATATAACTGTAGAATCGTAAGAGAATTTATTAAAAAGAATATGTTTCTATATCACTGTCCTTGTAAGTTTTTCTGTATGTTTATTTCTTTCATTCTTGATGCTGGGAAGTGTAGCAGTTTTTGTTACAATCTTCCTAAGTCTTGACGATCAGATGAAAGTCACATCGGCACATTAATTCAAGTTAGAACGCTTCACAACAGTACAAAAGAAAATCAAGTTTGAATGTATGTACAATGAAAGAGATACAAGTAACTAATGCCTAATACTATGTTTAAGATCTGGAGATCAAATGCGATTTTCGCTTATTGGGGAAATTCATTTTGTATTCCTGGTTAGATGCCAATCTAATGGTTATATTTCTAGATAATTAACTGTTTGATTATGACTGCGAGCCCTGCTTTACTCGATAACGTTTGGCTACTATTTGACAACAGTAGACGTTTCGTAACCGATATTGCTCATAACCACTTCATAAACATGTATTAAATTACTCAACTACACTGTTCTATTATTCAGATTTTTTTCTAGCAGTGACCAATGCTTCATTTCTATTCTCTGAGTTCTAGACCATTTAGATTTAGAATAGTCATATGAAGTATATACTTAATGGTTTCTGCAACAGAACAATGAATATGCAAATATTTTATCAATAATCATCTACCGTCTTTTATGTATCTTAAAATTGTACACCTGTTTTGCAGGTTGCCTAATAAGTTGGTTTCTTTGCAAGAAAAGTTGTCAGTTATCGGTTTATGGCCATCGAGAATTGGGTATGAAGGTATCTTGTCTGCTTATGCCGATCTTGGGGACAAAAGTAGTTTGATTAAAACTCTAGATGAAGCCCTCACTGTTCTTCAGCCTGTAAAAGCCGAAATGAAGCAAATTAATTCTCACGTATTTCCTCCGTCATTTATTTTGGATATTTACATAAAGCTCGTTTGTTCGCAAAAAGACCCCAGTGCAACATGTCGCGAAGTACGATATTTTTTATGTTGGTTATAAAATTTTATTTTTGTTGACCTTAATCGAATGTATTTTCTACTATATTGTTGATAGCTTCAAACATTCCGTTTTCGTTCATCTTATCTTTTCTTTCTCAATTTTATAAAGCTTAGTTGAGGTAAGACAAAATTTTTTATCTGATGATAATCCCGATTTCACTAATTTGTTTCACAATAATCAACGAAGTATTTGGCATAAATCTAGTGAAGACAACTCTGTATGTATCTCTTCTAGAGTTGATGCCGGTCCCGAACCTGAGTAAAGGAGGAGGGTTGGGCATGAGGTCTGCAACCCCATTCCGTAGAAAATATCTTCCTGAAAAAACACTAACCAGAATGAGCAATTTCAACCATCTAAACTTCGCACTGAGAGTTGAAGGATCTTCACTCAGAAAAGTTATGATGTCTTATAGTGAAAGCTGAGATTCTTCGGAAGTCACGAGGCCGATGTCCGTTCTAAAAACCACACAAACCATTAATACCCCCAAATGCCCTGGTATGGCCGAGTCTGGGGTGGGCTCGTCATCCCTCTCGAAATACTCTCACACGGCCGCGCGTATACAGCCTCTGCCAGGGAAGTCCTACTCATTGCCTTCTCGTGGTGGGCTGTTGTCTACGAAAATGAGAAGAAAACGAATGTCCGGCGCTTTAACCGGATCCCAAACCAATGGTGCACATGGGCCCCAATATCCTGAGGGAACAAATGGCGTATGAACCGACCGTTGGTCACCGACTACCATGAAACTGCATCTCCTCACGATGCTCCACTGCCTTGTGGGTCAGACCTTTAGGTCAAAGCCTCGGGTTGTAGCCCCACTAAGAAAACCACCTGCTTCGGTCTGGGCACCCGGGCAGTATCACAGCCCACACACAAATATGATGAAATGTCGATATTTTTGGAAGATACTCGTCTTGCTTCGATCAACAATCAAAGGATTCACATTATCATTATTATCACTATTATTGTTACTATTATTATTGTTTACTACGTCATTTATTCACTCTTTTATTCTCACTTTATGTATCCTTATTTTTCGACTCATTCAGCAGTTCGTCTATGGTGGAAATTCGGTCCTATCTAAACGGTCTCGAGTCACTGCCTGGTTGAAAATTCTATGCTACCAATACATACGAATACTGAAGCAGTTTTTCTGAAACCACGTGCACAATTCAAACTGTCTACCTTCAACGTTCGCACACTTATGCAGGTCGGACAACAGATAGGGCTGGCTATGTCTTTGGGAAGTCTTAATATCGACGTTTGTTGTCTATGCGAGACCCGTATTCAAGACTCTGGTGAAGTACTACAAATTCGCTCTCCATCTATCACTTCAAAAAGCTTCTTTTACGTGCGTTTATCCGGGGACCCTGTGGCATCTTTGTCTGGTCTTGCTGGCGTTGGTGTCGCACTAAGCGCTAGAGCTGAGGCAGCACTAATCGATTGGATTCCCATTAACAGTCGGTTATGTGCTGTTAGATTAGAAAGTTCCATCAAAGTGAGAAGAAATCTGTGTGAGAAACGATGTCTGTTCGTCATCTCCGCCTATGTCCCGACAGATTGCAGCCCGGATGCAATCAAGGATGAATTCTACCACCAGTTAACTGTTCGTATCCACAAATCAGTTGTTTACAAAAAAAAACAGTCTAGTTACGAATCAAAATTATTGAACATTTTTTCCAAGTGTATTTTATATTCTTATTTAAAACCACTGAACATCATCGTACTACTTTCTTTCTTCATAGATATTGAAAAAAATGCCTCTAATACTTGGCCCAAACACTTTTGCATTGGATGCAGTCAGAATTCTCCTAGCTCGTGGACGTCCTGCAGCTGCTCTAGAAGTTTTTAAGATGATAGATCCGGAGAATATGAATAGCGCATATTTGTATTCATTACTTCATTTTGCTGTTCTTGGCGGTTTGGTTAGTTGTCCACGTATTATTATTATTATTATTATTATTATTATTATTATTATTATTATTATTATTTCGCTTCATATTTACATTGTGACTCTTTTTGTAGATAGTGTGAATGTGTTGCTGGAATGTTGGACATATATTATATGTTTGTCCACGGTTTTTCAGGTTCAGTTTTATTTAGATGAATGTTTATGTAATATACAAAAAATTGTGTAACATCATTGTTGTCTATGATTTTTACTCATATCGTATTATCTGGAGTCAGTCAGCCAACTACAACGTAGGACCAGGCACATATATGCATCGGTCCAAGTTGCCACACATTAGCATGACAAGATAAACACGGAATTCATAGAAGTAGTCACTTCAACGGTAGTAATATATAAAATAAAGATTGTGTACAAGGATATGATACATGGAGAAAGAATTAGTTGGTAGAAATAAAGATATAAAGCGATTTTAATCTCATGTTTTATGGGAACACAAAGAGTGTATACACCGACGCCGTTGTAATCGATTCTGAACCCTGTCACCAAGAATACTCGTCCCTTAATTAATAGACGGATATCTCACCTTCGCCATAGGTGACGTACATTGGCAAAAGTCAGACGAGTTATTTGATTCCATGCTGAGACTTCGTTAGACACCAACCTATTAGGGTTGATCGAACTTTCAAGATAAGTGAAGTTGTCAACGCGTTCGATTACTTCACTCCCTATCCTTAGTTCAGGTGTAGACGCAGGCCAGTCCTGAAGCAACAACCTGAATTTAGAGGGAGAGAAGCAGTCAGTCAGTCAGTAACAACGTAGAACTTCGTACGTACTTACATCAGTTCGATTTGCCACACCATATTAGCATAGAGATGCAGTGGTCGATTCAAATCCCGTAGTGGTAGAGGTAATAAGAGTATAAGCAGTAATCGGGAAGATTAGTGTTTGGAGATGTTACTTAAAGAGTATAATACAGTGAAATAAATTTGAGAGAAAAAAAAGAGATCAAAATTTGGGAGAACACAAAGAGTGGATGCACCTGCGCCATTGCACACGATTTTCATCCATGTCATTCAGGGTCTCTAACCATCGGTTGCTATCATCTCGCGGTCCCCAACCAGGTAGTCTACACCTACCGACATGACTCAGACCACTTGTCAGTGACTACATGGACTTGTGCCATGTTTTGGTCTGGCCACCCCTAGCTTTCTTCCAACCTACTCCTATACCACTGAACATCGCACGTCGAGGCAGTCGGTCGTTGGGCATACGTAACACGTGTCCAAGCCATCTCAATTGATGAAGTTTCACCATTTCATCAATTGACTTGCCATCCTTACCTAGTACCCGTTTCCTAACAACTGCATTACTTACTCAATTGTCCCACGATATAGAGCAATATTTCGAAGACACCTATGATCAAATACTAGTAACCCACGAATATCCTCTACTCTTACTGGCCACGTTTCACTGCCATAAAGTAGGACGGAACAAACTGCTGCGCAGTAAACACGTCCTTTGGTTGATAGACGGATATCTCGCCTACGCCATAAATGACGCACGTTGGTAAAAGCTAGTCGAGCCTTCTGTATCCGTGCTGAGATTTCGTCACACACCAGACCACAAGGGCTGATGAGACTTCCAAGATAAGTGAAGCGATCGACACGCTCAATTACTTCACTCCCTATCATTAGTTCGGGTGTCAATGCAACCCAATCCTGAAGCAACATTTTGCATTTCGAGGGGGAGAATCACATGCCGAACATGCTTGCATTGTTGCCTAGAGTGGTCAGAAGACTCGGCATTTTGTCAGCGTCTTCGCCAAATAAAACTATGTCATCAGCATATTCTAAGTCAACAAGTGAACCTCCGGTAGAAGTTCAACCCCTGGAAATTTAGATGAGGAGAGTGTTATCTCTAAAAGTACGTCGACCACAAAGTTGCAAAACCAGATGACAGTTCGCCATAAGCTCTGACTCAACTGGTAGTGTTCAAGTAAAGAGCCTTCAAGTACAGAGTGATAAAGAACCTCTCGGTCTGCAGAATCAAATGCTGCTCTTAAGTCAAGTAAACCTATCATAGTCGAACGCTGATAGGCATGCCTGTATTCTAGAACCTGACAAATGGTCACTATATATGGTTGATTCAGCGACGACCAGGTCTGAAGCCAGCCTGATTTTCTCGTGTTTCAGTTCACGAGTCTTAGTTAGGCGTCCGATAATTATTGAGGCTGATATTTCAGATGCTATATTAGTGAAACTAATCCCTCTCTCGTTGTGACAGTATGGTTTTGACCCTTTCTTATATATTGGGGCAATCTGTCATTGCGACCAGTCAGACGGTCAGTCAGTCAGTCAGTAACAACGTAGAACTTCGTACATACGTACATCAGTTCGAGTTGCCACACCACATTAGCACAGAGATGCAGTTGTCGACTCAAATTCCGTAGTGTTAGGGGTAGTAAACGTATAAGCAGTAATCGGAAACATTATGGCTTGAAGATGTTATTCAAGGAATATAATACAGTGAAATAAATTGGGAAAGAAAATAAGGGACATGAAGAATCCAGAAGATTAGAATTTGGGAGAACACAAAGATGCACTTGCGCCATTGCAAACGATTTTAAGCCATGTCATTCAGGGTCTCTAACCATCGGTTGCTATCATCTCGCGGTCCCCAACCAGGTAGTCTACACCTACCGACATGACTCAGACCACTTGTCAGTGACTACATGGACTTGTGCCATGTTTTGGTCTCGTCGCCCCTAGCTTCCAATCTGCTCCTATACCATTGAACATCGCACGTCGAGACAGTTAGTGGTTGGGCATACGTAACACACGTCAGATGGGATTACTTCCAAATATTAGTCAATCTAATCGCTAAAATTGGACCACCATATTTAAAGAAATCCGGACCAACTGCCCTTCCTCGTCTCAGATTAACTTTAGAGGTAGAGTTGGGCACCTACTTCAATGTTCCATTCACACTGTCTGGGAATGGAGGGTAGTTGTAGAGTAGCTGAAAACCAGTTGAACTGTTCCTTAAAGTGTTCCTCTCATCGTTCTGAACAGATAAGAGTGTGGTCTTTTTCCCATATCGTCTCACTTACGCTTGACTTCTTAATTTCAGTTTCTTTTATTAATCTGAAAAGCTGTCTGGTGTTAACTACAGCCACTGCCTTTTCCATCTCCTTTGCTTTCGATGCCCGCCACTGGTCACAGTCGTTCCTTAGACTTTTGGTTAACATATATCTGATTTCCTCTTTATCATGTTCAGAGGCTGGTGGTATGAGTTTACGAGAATCTATTATTGCAAGAGACTTAGTAGAAATCTATTTGTTTTTTTGTAACTGTTTGGTTTAAATCACTAATAGATGTCACTGCTGCTTCCACAGCTGCTTGTATGTCTTTCCAAGCAGCATCTGGGTCAGCCTCGTCTTCAGAACTACCTAAGTGTGAACTCAGTTGTTCCTGGAACCTACTTTTGGTTTTCTCGTTACTCAATTAAGTTCTAGTGGGTCTTTTTAATGTGGCTTTTTTGCGTCCGGTGAGGCGCAAGCAGATGCGTGTCCGTATTAGGGCATGGTCGGAGTCCAAGCAGGTACTCCAGAATGAGCGAGAATCTTCTACAGACCCTCTCCAACGATGACTGATGGCAATATAGTCTATTTGAGTCCATCGTTGGTTTGGTGTAGGGGGTCGCCATGTTAGACGATGTCTCTCCTTATGCTTAAAATTTGTGTTTGCTAAAAATAAGCGATTGTCTGTGCACAGCTGCAGCAGACGATCACCATTATCTGTTCGTTGTGCCGGAATACCAAAATACCCACCTAAATGCCTTTCTGTTTGGTTTAAGCTACCTATGTATGATGAAGCTAAACAAAAATGGGGAAAGTGGACAGCCTTGACGGACACCACTTGAGGTTGCAAAAGTAGATGACAGTTCGCCATAAGCCCTGACTCGACTAGTAGTGTTCGAGTAAAGAGCCTTTACAAGGTTTATGTACTTCTGGGTACGCCTTTCAATGACAGACACTGCCACAGAATCTCGCGGTCTACCGAGTCAAATGCTGCTTTTAAGTCGAGAAAGACCACCATTGTCGGACGCCGATAAGTATGCCTGTGTTCTAGAATCTGACGAATGGTGAATATGTGGTCGATGCAGCCACGACCAGGTCTGAAGCCAGCTTGGTTCTCTCGTGTTTGCAGTTCACGAGTCTTAGTTAGGCGTCTGATAATTATCGAGGCTAGTATTTTAGATACTATATTAGTTAAACTAATCCCTCTGTGGTTGTCACAGGATGATTTTGACCCTTTCTTATATATTGGGACGATAAGTGATTGTGACCAGTTAGATGGGATAACGTCTAACTCCCAGATCTTAGCTAAAATATTAGTCAACCTAATCGCTAAAATTGGACCACCATCCTTAAAGACCTCTGGAGCCAGTCCATCTGGACCAGCTGCCCTTCCTCGTTTCAGATTAACTATAGCCTTTTGAACTTCAGCAAGAGTTGGGGGACCTACTTCAATGTTCCATTCACACTGTCTGGGAATGGAGGGTAGTTGTAGAGTAGCTGAAGGCCAGCTGAACTGTTCTCTGAAATGTTCCGCCCATCGTTCTAAACGTCTGGACTGGGAGCAGATGAGAGTATCGCCTTTTCCGAAATAATCTCACTTACACTTGACTTATTAATTCCAGTTTCTTTTATTAGTCTGTAAAGCTGTCTTGTGTTCCCTATAGTCGCCGCCTTTTCCATCTCTTTTGCTTTCGTTGCCCACCACTGCTCACGGTCGTTCCTTAGACTTTTTCTTAACCTAGATCTGATTTGTTGTCGCTCTTCATCATGTTCGGAACCTGATGGGACGAGTTTGCGAGAATCCATCAGTGTGATAGACTTTGAAGAAATCCACTGGTTCTTTGTAACTCTGTGGTTTAAGTCGCTAATAGATGTCACTGCTGTTTCCACAGCTGCTTGTATGTCTTTCCAAGCAACATCTGGGTCAGCCTCGTCTTCAGAACTACCTAAGTGTGACCTCAGTTGTTCCTGGAACCTACTTTTGGTTTTCTCGTTACTCAACTCAGTTCTAATGGGTCTTTTTAATGTGGCTTTTTTGCGTCCAGTGAGGCGCAAGCAGATGCGTGCCCGTATTAGGGCATGGTCGGAGTCCAAGCAGGTACTCCAGAATGAGCGACAATCTTCTACCGACCCTCTCCAACGATGACTGATGGCAATATGGTCTATTTGAGTCCATCGTTGGTTTGGTGTAGGGGGTCGCCATGTTAGACGATGTCTCTCCTTATGCTTAAAATTTGTGTTTGCTAAAAATAAGCGATTGTCTGAGCACAGCTGCAGCAGACGATCACCATTATCTGTTCGCTGTGCCGGAATACTAAAATATCCACCTAAATGCCTTTCTGTTTGGTTTAAGCTACCTATCTGAGCATTAAAGTCACCCCTACGAGTACTATGTCTGAGCGTTTAGCTTTCTGAAGAAGTTCGGACAGCTTTCTGTAAAATTCATCTTTCACATCATCTGAGCTGCAGTCAGTGGGAGCGTAGGCAGAAACGACGAAAAGGCAACGACGTGTGTCCCTATCCTTCCGAGTTCTTACGGAGCCGTTTAGCCGAACAGCACATAGACGACTGTTGACGGGGATCCACTCTAGCAGTGCTTGTTCCGCCCTCATGCTTAGTGCTATGCCTACACCTGCCAGTCCACGAGAACTGGCCATCGGGTCACCAGATACACGGAGGGTGTATCTCGTTGGCTCTCCATTTTGCCGAGGTGAGGTCAAATGAATGACTACCCTAGGATCCTGTATGTGTGTTTCGGAGACACAGCATATATCAATGGTACGAGATTGTAGAGTTTTAGCCAAGGAGGCCTATTGGACGATTGGACATAGTGTGCGTATGTTGAAGGCTGCAATATGTAGTTTTGAGCGAGTTTTCGGTAGACCAGGGATAGTGTTTTGCGGACTAGAATCGTTGACCATGGTGACAGTTGAGGAATAAGCGAAAAGAGGAAGTGTATAGTTGAAAGTCGATGTAGAAGGAATCATAGGAATTGAAGAGGGAGATTGTTTATGAATACAGTGTTCTTGATTGCTGTTATAGGTATGAGGGTGGTTTTCATTTCCCGGTTGCCCATGCTACCATGGTCCCATGGTAGCAGGTGACCAACAATAGGTTCTTACGTCATTTGTTCCCTCAGGATCCTGGAGCCTATGTGCACGATTGGTTCGGAATCAGGGTTTTCCAACTCCCCTTGGTGAATCTTTCGTATCTGCCAACCCGGTCGGAGCTCCGTACATTCGCTTTTCGTCGTCTCAATTTCGTAAACAACACCTCATTGCGAGAAGGCAGTGAGTAGGACTTTCTTTATAGTGGCTTTATACGCGTGGTCATGTGAGAGCACTTCGAGAGAGAGAGAGAGAGAGAGAGAGAGAGCGAACTGTCCCCACTCTCGTCCGTGCTAGGGCATTTGGGTACTAGACACTGGTGATAGTTCATGATAATATCAGTAATCCCATACAATTCTTGTTGTTGAGATGTTTCTCGTTTTAGAATACGCAAACATATTTTCGCTGAAAATCCTTTAGTTATACATCGTTTACATACATTTTATTTATTAACTAACATAGTTTTCCTCATTTATTGTATTCGCTTAACTTAATATACTCGTTTTATGGTAAAATAACGATATATTTTTAATATACTAACGAGCAGAAATTTTATAAATATATTATTTTACGATTGACATGTTATACAATGCTTAATTGGTTGAAAATTATTAAACCTAACCTTGATAATGATAAATACTTGTTTCACAGAGTGAAGAACAACTGCAACCATTCTGGAAAATTTCGACTCGTGATGATTCATACTTTCAAATGCTTGTCAATAAAGGTAAATCTTGTATGTTGTTTATAGGAAATAAAAAATATTGCTTTCTTATCCATGAGTAACATTATGTGTATTTTAGTGAATGCGTTTAGCTACTTTTCGTTGTTATCTCGAACTTAATCTTGCTATACCTAGTGGTAATAATATTACTACTACTCTGAGATATTAAGTAATATCAATCGATTCAGTCAGTCAGTCAGTCAGTCAGCTACAACGTAGGATCAGGCACATTTATGCATCGGTCCAAGTTGCCATACCTCATTAACACAACAAGATGTACACCGATTCACCTCATTTTTGTTCATTTCCTACTTAATCCATATTCTAGACAACAGCCTTGATGTGGAAATAGTGTAGGTGGATGGAGTTGTAAAGTTTCAGGCAAAATTCATTTTTTATTGTTTGTTTTAATCTTCTCATTGATGTTTAAAACTGCAATTGGTCAGTCTCTTATTGGCAAATGTGTATCCTGCTTGGATTTCCTCGATATTGCCTTCACTCACAAACATTATAAGCAAAGATGGATCGTGGCTAGCAGTGGAATCCAGGACGCGCTTTTTTCGTATTTAGGACTCGACAGCCAGGTGTACTTGTACCCCTGAGATGATGTTCACTCCAGGACTCGAACCCAGTGCCGTTCACTTTGAATGCTATCGTGTCACCCACCTAGCTACTTAGTCCTGATAGCCACTGGTTTGTGCAGTGGGGTTAATTTTTAATTCACTTTGTATTGTTTATTTAAATCTTCCTATTGATGTTTAGAACTGCGATTGGTCAGTCACCCAATTGCACAAGATCGTGACTGTCCGGATTCAGTAGCTAAGCCAATAAAGCAACGATGTTTGAAGTGAACGGTACTGGGTTCAAGTCCCAGACTCAACTTCATGAAAGTCATTCTCCTAAGCTACAAATTTTTTCCACCATCGCAAAGGTTTTTTATTAGGTGTTTTAAGAGCAAAAAATAATAAAGGCATTGACCTCTGGTACGAAATACTAGATGATACTAGATAATTTGACCACTATACTAGGCCACGTAATGCACAGATACAATTCAAGCGAAATTTTTATTTCTTAACCTTGACATTCTACTGTCGTGATGTCTCACCTGCGTTACAGTCCTTAAATTTGATCTTAACAACACAGTTCTGACGTTCTTTTCTTGGTACTGTGTCTTTCACTTTTACTGGTTTAGAACTAAAAATCGTTCGTTCAAAAATACTCTTATGTTTTAATGGTTCAGGATCTTGATTTCATCTGGAGCGTATTTGTGTTATGAGATCACCACCATGTTAAGCCATTCTTTCGGCTTATCTCTCATCTTAACTTCTTAAGGTTTCTTGATTAACCTTTTTACTTTTCATCATCAAAGTGGTCACAGTACTGAGATTTAAAATACCAACTATATCGAGTCAAGATTGATTTCACGTATAGAGGTTTTCAATACAGTCCTATTCTCTTCTGTCAATCAATCAATGTCCACGTAACAGACCTCTTAGTGAGCGAATAATATAGTTCTCCACTCTCTAGACCGAGTAGTCACAAGTTGTACTCACTCGTTTGCCGTTTTAAGGTTATTTTAAGTAGCTTAATACTTCAAGGATATTAGATAGTCTCAAAATAAATTTTCCTGCATACCAAACTACATGACCTGTGGTCAAAACAGGGATATATTCAATCTGTCCTTACCCACACCTGGATCATCCCAAATAGAAGCCATGTAATATAAGCTTTTACCATCCAATCCTCTTTTATTTCTGTTTATCTCGCCATATTCTCACTTTGTATAATAATAATATTATTATTATTGTCATTATTATTATTGTTATTGCTACTCTGACATTTCAACTAGTACACGTCATAATCATCTGCCTATATCCTTATTATTGTTGCTACTATTATCTTTATTAACCCATGAAACATTTAACATATGGGTTATATCCACATGATTTATTTTACTATATTAATTGTAAATCGGTCCCTTCTTTTTGGAGGAGTTTCGTCTTCTGAGGTGGATGATTTAGTCACGAAGCTTTCATTGTTCCTTTGAATAACGTCATCAGGGAAAACTCAAGGTAGAAGGTAGGTATTCGAATTTATCCCTATGACTGACAGCATATCCCGTTGGCCTTGTCCTGATTGGTTATCATTGACCTTAACTTTCTCATTGTCTGTGTATTCATTTTCATTGTCTCCTGCTTCGACTTAATTCTCGACCTTATATTTGTCCATGATGTTTTTTAATTGATTGGTAAACTGTGTCGATTTTGGTGTGACTACCGGTTTTTGGTTGACCATGTATGCCAAGTTCCTGGAACGTCTGTTATCTTCCTTGTATCCTCCGTATTCAAAGGCATTTTCCTAGTCAAATGTGTGCTCACAATTGTTTACGGGTGTCGATATATGCGATGTTAAATCTTTTTGACGGTAATCGACAAGATACCTCAGAAATATGTTTCGTGCTATTTTACATTCATCAACCTTTTGTATGTGTAATTTTGAGCAAAATGATTCTCCCTGGTATATTTTATCCTGTGTCATCCAGCTTCATAGTCAAAGATGTTACCACGGAGTTATTTGGGTCACGATCAGCCTGCCATCGGACTAACATCTATTTTGCCCCTAAATGCCCTGGTACGGACGAGAGTGGGGAGAGTCCGCTCTCTCTCTCTCTCTCGAAAAGCCCTCACATAGTCACGCATATACAGCCACTGTCAAGAAAGTCCTACTCACTGCCTTCTCGCAATGAGGTGTTGTTTACGAAATTGAGACGACGAAAAGCGAATGTACGGCACTCCAACCGGGCTAGCAGATATAGAAGATCCACCTAGGGTAATTGGAAAACCCTGATTCCGAACCAATCGTGCACATAGGCTCCAGGATCCTGAGGGAACAAATGGCGTATGAACCAATTATTGGTCACTGGCTACCATGGGACTGCACCTCCTAACGTTGCTCGTTTGCATTATGGATTAGACCTTTAAGTCGAAGACTCCGGGTGTGGTCACCTAGGAAAACCATTTGCTTCAGTCTGGGCACACGAGCACTATTCCAGTTCACACGCGAACCAAGTGACTTATGTGAAGCATATGTATTCGGTGCCCATTTGTACGAATATTGATATGCCTAAATAAATAAATGAATAATACATCCATTTAAAATTGATTGATAAATGAGAAGGGACCAATCAATCTTAGATACGTCGAGGCGTTCGATATCTAGATGTAGTTTTCGTGCAGACGAAGGTGAAGATGACGGCCAATTTGTCTGATTTTGTGTTTCTTTTAGTTGGTGCAATTTATTTGCTAGATGGAGCTCGTCTTTTCCTCTTTTGTAATCTCATGCTTCGTTTGCATATATATATATATATATATATATATATATATATATATATATATATATATATATATATATATATATATATATATATATATATATATATAATACGACGACCATTTTATTGGTTTTTGCATTCGGTTTTTGATATTTTTGACAATGTTACTTGGATACTTTTCCCTTAACACATTTACTTACTCCTGTTACCCCTCGTAGAGGAGCATATGCCAACCATCAGCATTCTCCATCCAACCCTGTCCTGGGAAATTCTTTTCATGTTTGCTACCGGTTCCTGACGTCGTATGTTCTTCGACCTTCTTCTTTTGTTTCCCTTCATCATTCCAAGCTAGGGTTTGCCTCGTGATACAGTTTGGTGATTTCCGTAATGTATGTCGTATCCACTCCCGACATCTTTTCTTAATTTCTTCTTCGCCTGGAAGCTGGTTTGTTCTCTCATACAGTAAGCTGTTGCTGATGGTATCGGGTCAACGGACATTGAGTATCTTCTATAGACAATTGCTTACCGATACTTGTATATGTTTGATTATCGTTGTGGTAGTTCTCCAAGTTTCAACTCCATACATTAAGAAGTGTTGTGTCGTTCGTATTGAAGATTCTGACTTTGGTATTAGTTTACAGTTGTTTTGAGTTCCATATATTGTTAAACTGTAGGGATGCGGCCCTTGCTCTGCCGATCCTCGCCTTTATGTGTGCATCGAATCCTCCTTGTTCATCGATGATACTGACCAGGTACATGAATCATTCCACATCTTCCAATGCTTCTCCATCAAGTCATCAAATATTTGTCTTCCTTTTTCCGTGCTATGAATGTTCTGTAGTGTCAGCGCAGTGGATTTAGTGAAATTTTGCGTTCATTTTCATCGAGCTATCTCCATGCTTCATCTCTTTTTCTCTACTGATACTACTATTACTCCTACATCTTGATAATTTTATCTCACTGTGCTGGTGCGATGTGCCAACTATGTCTAGTACACATATGTCCTGGGTTCTGTTTCGCTTATAACTGACTAACATGAATCGATAATCGAATAGTAACTTGATTTTCTGAATAGTTAAAGGTTATCCTGCATGCCTTTTACATTTTTGTGTACGACTCAGTACAGTTCTACAACTGTCTCGAATGTTTTTTTTTATATTTTCGCTTCAACATAGTCTCCCAGTTTTCTGTTGTGAGCTCATACAAAAAATTCTCCTTTCTGTTAAGTTTTTCACTACACATGCGCCCCATCAAAGGATGACGTCATATGAATGTTCACTACATCTTATGTTACACACGTGTGCTTCATAGATGTTCAAAAATCTAATCTGATGGTATGTATTCTTGTTTAAATTAAATGTTTAACTTATGGACATTGACAAGTATCAAGTTGTCACTGGGATTTTGGTCAAGACAAATACTTACTTTCCTATTGATCTTGAAATAAAGGATGGGATACTAAATAAGAACTGCAAATAGGATGATGTTGTAGCAAATCTTCATCAGCTGTGGCTCGGACATGTATTAAGTATTCACAATCACCTCCCGTTTCGATGGACGGGGTTTTTTGGTTTCGGAGTATGCTGGAATAAATCTAAGGAGACACAAGACCGAAAACGTGCTGTCAGTCCATGATGGATCACATAACTCGGAATCGTTCATAATAATCCAAATGCATTGGCTCTTTGTCTCCACTTAAGTCCTGAGTCCCAGAATCTAATACTTTTTTCTTTCTATAATTAGTCTTTTCAACTCCTGTTACTGTCACTGCTGTTACTCTAGGATTTTTACTGGCAATTTTATCTCGCTATGCTATTGTAGTTTGGAAATGCAAATCGATGTACATATATGCCAAGTTCGATGTTTCATGTGACCGACTGATTTTAATTTAAGGTGAAGTGCCGTACGATCATCTGTTAATTACTTGGTCTCAGCTAAATTCTCTGTCAGTTGATTGTTAAGGAATTACTCTTTCTCTGTCCGAATTAATATAATCTCGGTTTAACTGCTATTTAATTGCTACGACCAGTATTGTTCAAGCTGTTTAATTTAAATATTCGCTTGACTGAAATCGCTTTTTTAAAATTTTAATCCAATACAAATGATTTTGGCGTGAAGAATAACCACATTTTAAAGGTGTTTCCTACATATTCAACTTACAATATTACTAATTACTTATCGTTCCAATTTTAGATACCGCTCATTCATCTAGGACTCTATCTGATCTTGAATCCATATTATCGATCCACAATGTTTCCAACCCTGTTCTACGCGCTTGTGCTTTATTTCGTGAAAATATGTATCACAAATTGTCATTTCGTGTTGTTGACATTGAAAATGTTTTCTGGAATGCCGTTAGAAAGAATTCGCTTAGCAATGTGCATCGCTCAATCGAAGCGCTTATTGATCTGTTCCTGTTGACGTATGTTACTTTTAAAACAATTAGTCGCTTTGATAAATTTCGATAATGCAATGAGAAGATGAGGTTTATCAAAATTATGTGATATATTTGCGCAATACATTTCGAACAGTCTGATCACACAACTCATTGACCTTTTAATTGTCATATAAAAATGTCTTAACAAGTATATGTGTGATGAGATTGTTCGAAATGTATTGCGCAAATATATCACATAATTCTGATAAACTTCGTCTTATTGTATGTTACTTTGTTTGTTAAATATGAAATATCAACGCTTTTAGTCTGAATAAGTATATTTCTCTTCGGGTTTTCTTATTTATTTCGTAATTATTATTGAAAAACCATTTTATACTGTTAGCTTTCATAGTAATAGCTTGTTTACGAACTCAAGATAATTCATGAAGGGTTAGAAATTTTAGTAGCGTTGATCATCTGTCGAGTTAGAGATGTCACTTATCAGTAATTTGTCTTGTAAAAACGACCTGTGGTCGTAAATTTTCTTTTATTATGATTAAGGGATCTTTGATGGTTTTGGGGGCCCTTTACTTTGCCGTCATTTAGATTGGACAATGTTTGTTGACGAGCTCTTCAATTTAGTGGCCCGGGATCTGACTCCATGTAGATCGTATGAATGTTTGTTATCGCCTATCCTCGTATTTAATCATCGACTTAAATCACGTTAGTCGGAATTCAATAAGTCAAATAGCGAGAATAAACTTTGAATACATATACTTTGTATATGAATATTTATAGCCGCACAAAATTAAGTTACAGACATGTGATGAATGGGATAAGAAGTGCACGCACACGCTCGTATGAAAACAATCAAGATTGGTAAGCGAATAATTAACACGGTAAAACTATGGCTCAAGTAGAATGAGTAGATTGGCCTGTCTGGATGCCAGAATGAGGTATGTGGGCTTAACATAATAACTGACACTACAGGTTGTCAACACTAGCAGTTTTGCATACAAATAAAACATGAATGATGAGTCCCAATCTGTCTAGTTCAAAATGTACAACTACCATTTTATTACATCACAGATATCGTACACGTTGTTTCGGTGACTTAGTAAAGTACTGACTCATTAGTCAAAATACTGAACTTTGAACGATTGTGCTGTATCTGCAATACCCATTTAACATTGTTGGATACTGACAACTAAGTAGTATCAGTATCTCCTCCATAAAACTGTCTTCTAGTCAAGTTGATTATTTATTTATATATTTATTTGAACACATAAATATTGGTACAAGAGGGCACCAAATATATATGCGTCACACAAAACAATGAGAATGGGAAGAGAAAAAAATTGGTAAGTAACGTAAAAGAAAACAAAGAAGAACAATAATGACCAGATTAGTGTAAGATAGTATAATAATAATATCTTCAGATGACATTGTCTTACTGTGCGATAATGTCCAAGCTATGCAATCCGCACTTAATCTGTACTCACCCTGGATGGTGAGAAGATAGAAGTAGTCGAGTTGGTGTATCTAGGTAGCTGCATAAATGCTGGTGGTGGCATGAGTGATGAGATCAATGCACGTATAGTGAAAGCCAGAGTGGCTTATGCCATTCTGGGCCACCTTTGGCGCGTTCGTGATGCTAGTCTGCCTGTAAAACGTCGGATCTGCAACGCGTCAGTGAGAGCAGTTCTGCTTTATGCTTGTGAAACCTGGCCTCGGTGGCTTGGACATGTTCTACGAATGTCGTCCCAGAGAATTCCACGTCGTGCATTATTTTTCGACTCTGGGACTGGTTGGAAAATGGGGAGAGGTGGTCAGTATATGACATGGTGTCGTGGCATGAAAGAAAGCTGCAAAGGACTGGCTTGTGTTGGTCTTCACAACTCTCTGGCTGAGGTCCGAGAGATGGTGCTACACAGTGGCTAGAGACGTTATCAGATATAACTGAAAATAGAAGCCAGTGCCGATCCTGCTGCAACCTTCTTTTACTTTCTTCATAAAAAGTGGTTGTATCTTCCTTGACTGAATGATTTCTTCTGATTGTACCTTTCCGTTCCCACATTATTACTATTATTATTACTACTACTACACTACCTTACACCAATCTCTTCGTTATCGTTCTCTCTTTTTTGACGCTTCTTACCTTTTTTTCCTTCTCTTTAAATTCTTATTGTTTTGTGTGGCGCATATATATTTGTCGTACTCTTGTAACAATATTTATGTGTTCAAATAAAGAAATAAATTAGTAATAATTATTATTAATATTATTATTTGTTATATCCGAGGGAAGATTAAATCACGAGTAACTTGTGAGATATATATAAGTCGACTAATATTATCTATACATTCTACTGGTATAACTATTCAATAATTAGGTTATGTATATTTACATTCCTCTTATCATAAGCTTTATTTTGTCCTATAAGTTATTTTTGTACCGTTTACTGTTCTTAAGCGATGTTCAGTTTATTGACTACTGCCTCCCACGTTCACAGCCACTTTTTGGCTTTATTGTGTACAAATCTTGCGTTGCGGTCTGTTTGTTTGATATATAAACACAGTGTGTCTGAAATAAATGATTCGACTCGATTCGCATACTGGGAGCTGGTATTTGTGTTTGTACTCAAGTGGATGGGCTAAGCGGACATAAGAACAATAAGGACGCTAGGCTGCTCATACCGGTCGAACGTCATTAGTTTGGCACAGTGTTGAGATTGTATAAGTCGTATTCTGATTAATGGATAAGGCACGTGATAAAAAGTCGGACATAAAGTCATAACAATTATTATTACACTACCTTACAATAATCTGTTCGTTATTGTTCTTTTTTCTCTCTTCGAATTCTCATTGTTTTGTGTGGCGCATATATATTTGGTACCCTCTTGTACCAATGTTTATGTGTTCAAATAATAATAATAATAATAATAATAATAATAATAATAATAATAATAATAATAATAATAGTGTGAATTGTTTGACAGTAAATCGAATCGAGAATACAATTTTCAGTAAATATCGTCATTTTCATTTTATTTGTGTGTGGGCTGTGATACTGCCCAGACCGAAGTTGATTAGTGTGCAACATGATTCTGATTAGCTTTTTATAGACATTATTACGCATTAAAAAGGCTGTTCTATTTCCATGTACCTACAGAAAAGATTATGATGGTTTCAAAATTTTCTTTCATCGTGTTGCATCTGATTTACCAAAACATGTACATCTTTTCCTCAATCGAAATACGGTTAGAGAATTCTTAACTGAGCATACTCAAGAGAACTGGGATTTTCTAGTGTCCGGTAAGTGGTCATTTTTGTGTGTCTGTTCATGCTAATTTTAGCAGGACATTTTTAAAATTATGATCCTGGTACTACTATTCAAATTTTGAATAAACTTAGTTTATTTATAAATTCCTAAGTTGATCCACTTTAGTAGCCGTGGATCTGACTCCATGTAGATCGTATGGATGATTGTTATCGCCTATTCTCGTATATAATCGTCGACTTGAATCGCGTTAGCCAATAACGGAACCAAATAAGTCGAATAACGAGAATTGATTTGTGAATACATATATTTTGTATATACAGCGAATGAAATAAAGCAAAGCAAAATGACACGCAGGGAGGATGGCTGGGAAGCCAACTCCATTTTAGTCAAGCGTTACTCAATATTTATAGTCAGACAAAATAAAGCTACAGACATGTGATTAATGGGATAAGAAGGGCACACACATATACGCACATATAAAAAACAGTCTAGATTGATAAGCGAATAAATAACAAGGTCAAAGTATGGCTCAAGTAGAATGAATAGAATGGGATGTCCGAAAGCTAGAATAAGATATGTGGCCTTAAAATAATGACTGACACTACACACCTTTGTAATAGTGAATGCTGGGTGGCAGCATACAATCCCAGTTGTTTAAACGCCTTCATAGAACATTCAGAATAATGAAATTTCGCATCGGTTATTACTTGAGTATGTCTGAAATCTTCCCTTTGTAGAGTTGTTAAATTATTCAACAGAGAAAGAGAAAACGTGTCACGCTTGTATGATTTTATGGTGGTGTAGCTTAGGTATACGATTTTGGTAGACTACATATTCATCTTCGTGTGCACTAACACCAACTAGCTGTCAAACGCTATGATTTAATTTCGCTCGCACCAATGAAAGTGAAAAATCGTGAACAGATGTTTGAATGGGAAAATGCTTAGATTTTGTATGTCATAATAAAAGGAAGACAGTAGAAGTTTTAGGGACTTGGCATACATAGTCAACTAACAACCAGTAGTCCCACCAAAATTGACCCAATTTACCAATCAATTAGAAAACATCATGAACAAATATGAGGTCGAGAATTTAGTCGAAGCAGGAGACAATGAAAATGAATACACAGACAATGAGAAGGTTAAAGTCATTGATAACCATTGATACTGTTACTGTCAGTATTACTCTGACACTTGTTCTGATTGTTTCATCTTTTTATGTTGATGTGTTGTGGGAAGTTAAGAGGATGGACAAGTTTGCCAGGTTTTGCTTTTCGTATTACTGACCAAAACCAGTCTACATCCAATGGATTCCGAACCTCGCCATTCACCTTTCGCTATGAATCGTATCTTTTTATAGTGGAAGATTTCTCTTTTTCTGAGGACTCAACTTTAGAGATCTACTCATGTGTCACAACTCAAGGAACTAAAATTGGCTTCACAGACTACTGTCATCTACTGGTTTTGTCAGTAACAGATTTCTAATAACTCAATCGCTTGAGCTGCCTTCTTTATTTATTTAAGCATATCAATATTCGTACAAATGGGCACCGAATACATATGCTTCTGGTGGTGTTTTGTTCTCTGAGCTGGATGGTTTGGTCGTGTTTCATGGAGAAAATATAGTTGTTCTCGAGTGGAAGCCTGCCTTTTGGCGAAATTCTCCCATTTTTTTCACATAAGTCACTTGGTTCGCGTGTGAACTGGAATAGTGCTCGTGTGCCCAGACTGAAGCAAATGGTTTTCCTAGGTGACCACACCCGGAGTCTTCGACTTAAAGGTCTAATCCATAATGCAAACGAGCAACGTTAGGAGGTGCAGTCCCATGGTAGCCAGTGACCAATAATTGGTTCATACGCCAATTGTTCCCTCAGGATCCTGGAGCCTATGTGCACGATTGGTTCGGAATCAGGGTTTTCCAATTACCCTAGGTGGATCTTCTATATCTGCTAGCCCGGTTGGAGTGCCGTACATTCGCTTTTCGTCGTCTCAATTTCGTAAACAACACCTCATTGCGAGAAGGCAGTGGGTAGGACTTTCTTGACAGTGGCTGTATATGCGTGACTATGTGAGGGCTTTTCGAGAGGGAGAGAGAGAGAGCGGACTCTCCCCACTCTTGTCCGTACCAGGGCATTCGTGGGCTACCTTCTTACATCGAGAAATATGTAGTTGGTTAACATATGTAACACGCCTTCCAAAGTCATCACCGTCAGTAATTAACAATAAAAAAATGATGAATAATCACGTGTATGCTATTTCAGATGCTATCATAATATTAGTTATGGTGGTATGTTTTGTGATCTGACAATACTAATACATCTACTTGGGTATTATCTGACTGATTAGATGATAAGCATCATAAGATATTTGGTTTTTGATATTACAATGTCTTCTCAGGCGTTGTTAAATCAATAAGGCAGAACCTGCATGTAGTAATTAATACATATTTTTGCCTTTGAAGATAATTTTTTCAACTCCTACATGTTTACCAATGCTTTTTTGCAGTCTTTGAATGCACTTTTAATACTCGTTATTCATGCTGACCTATTAACTTTGGTATTGGACTACTGAATAAAATGTACTAGTACTTATTCACATAGATACCACTCTAATCTTTATGAAATCTATCTATCTCTCAGCCAACGAAATGCATTTTTTATTTAGGTCACTTGTGATTGCCGTAGATCGACTTTCTCATTAGGCTACTTGATTGGCTCATCATATCAGTCGTGAGCTATTAATCCAATTTAGTTTCAGTAGATGATTATTGATTTTTCCTGTGGTTTTTTTCTTAGTTTTAAGATCAAAGGTTGTTCCGGATGGCATTGCTTGTTACTGTATTCGTGCAATGGAAGACCAACGTCTTATGTATCCGGCACTTAATGATCATGTTCAACCTTCATGGTTTTCAGAAGTGAGATACATATATATATATATGTCATTAATCAATTCAGATTTGGATTTATTTATCCTTTTCATTCTTGAATATTTCCCGGAAGTCGATAGTCTATGGTCATCTCTGTACTTTTGTGTCAATTAATGTTCATCTATTAAATATCGCAACTCCACCGGGTGTTCTAGCGTTACTGCCAGCCACGATCACGGATAAAGGAAGCGAGTTAATCATGGGGTTGGCAAATTCATATGTTAGAAGATAAGTTTGTTAAAAAAACGCTGACTACAAAAAATTGCTAAAAGTATTTAAGCTATTCCCAGAGAGTCGAAGGTTCTTCACGCAGAAAAGTTGTGATGCCTCCTGGTGAAAATTAAGATTCTTCGAAAGTCATAAGTCTGATGTCCCTTCGTACAACCAAAGCAACAATTCTTATGGATAGTGGATTGTCCACAGAATGTGGGAGACCGGAGTACCATTCGAGTGGCGGCGTAAATAAGGAGATACAACTTAACGGTACACAAAATTAGTGAATAGAAATGATTGGTTTCGGGAGAGGTCACGTTTTATGCAGGAAATAAGTAAATTACCTTGTTGCACGAGAAGTTGCACTAATGTTATTGAAAGAAGCGCGAAAAACGCATGTCGGATGGGAATTTCATGGATCCAAAATCACCATAATATCCTTCAAAACGAAGAAGGAGGGTACTAAATAAGAAAAAGAGAATTCAGCGAAGAAAATTTTTCTTTTCGACGAAATCATTTACTTAAGCTGTACATTCGTATACACAGTTATATGGAAAATGTATGTCTATAGAAGGATAGAAAGGATTGTATCACAAAAAAATGGATTCGACAATAAATAACTTGCTCATGTGGGGGATTTTACATAGGCCTCACAAAGCGATCATTATCCAAACGCATCTCAGAACATTATCCGGCCTGGCTCTTGAAAGGGGAACGAAAACAATCACTAGTTCGATACAGGAGCACTTAATCAACTGTGAACATATCGCTCCAAAAGACTCTTCGTTTAACATAGTTTACAGAGTCAAAGGAACTGGATCGAAGGGGGGTTCGAATCAATATTTTATGCACCACAGAGGCATTGGAAATCCACAAACTAGAGCCTGAACTTTGCGTGCAGAAACGATTTGTCCAACCTCTCATCCTTCCCTGGCCCTAATTCCCTTAATGGGTATGTTTCTAGGTGTTTTTTTTGTTTTTTCTGCACTTTATCGATATTTTTAAATCACTATTTTGCACTTTAAACTCTAATCATTTATTTTTATTACCTTTTACAAGTTTTCTTGATTATCATTCAGTTTATTATTATGACCTTTGTTGTTTTGTCGTTTTTCTTCATATCTATCAATTGGACTATTATCTGACCCATAAATTTTGTTCTTCCTTACCCCTTGATTAGTACGTTAACCTCATCTGTTATTTATTGTCGAATCCATTTTTTGTGATACAATCCTTTCTATCCTTCTATAGACATACATTTTCCATATAACTATGTATACGAATGTACAGCTGAAGTAAATGATTTCGTCGAAAAGAAAAAATTTTCTTCGCTGAATTCTCTTTTTCTTATTCAATGACACTATGGGTTATTTTAATTATCTGAAAAGGAGGCTATTACAATGAGTGTTATCCTGTGTTATGAACCAACCAATGATAACAACGACGACGATAAGTATCAGTTCTACGAGAGGCTGCAATCAATCATAGTGAAGTGCCCAAGATAGGATCTCACCATCTTGAGAGAACTGAACGCCAAATTCGGAATTGACAACATCGAGTATCCAGATATCATGGGACGACATGGACTGATTGGGAGAAAGGAACAAAAATGGGGAGAGATTTGGATCTCTATGGAAACCCTGAACAAGACCCAAGAAAGGAAGAAAAGAAAACAGTAACTGACAACGGCCAAGCAAGAACTGAGAAAGTCAAGGTACAGATATCCTGACCCTTATATCCCATGCACACCAACAAATGCAGATGAAGTCGACCAGTGTAGCAGCTGCAGCCTCTACATCAGTAGGCCTCAACATGCACAAGGGAAAACGTTATATCCTCAGATACAGCACGAAGATGACCAACCCAATCACACTTGATGGGGACTCTGGAACACGTGGAAAAATTCACGTACTTGGTCAGCATCATCTATGAACAACGAAGATCAGATGCAGACGAGGAGAGGATTGGCAGCCAACAACATATGGAACTCATAACCACTGTCAACTAATATCAAAGTCAGAATCTTCAATGCGAACACTGAGATAGTTCTACTGTACAGAGCTGAAACTTCAACCTAAAACCTTCAGGACTAGCGAAAATTCTGTAACACTGATACCATTCAGTTACCATCCAAATAGTTCATATATTTTAGACTTCAATCGGCTTGTATATTTTCCAGTAGAAATTTTTTTTACAAGTTATTGGTCTTGAATGTTTTTACTTGTTACCACTAATTATTTTTTAAAGTAAGTTAGTGTTTAATAATTTATCTGAATAGATGTTTTTTCTCTCTCACTGAACTCATAATTTCATTGAAACTCATTTATCTCCATGATCCCCATACTAATAAATATTTCTTAATGCTTTACAGTTACTACTTCGTCGTTTACGTAAATTCGACCATTCAAAAATATTGAAAAATCTTCATTGGATAACTAAAAGTTTCTGTATGTGAAAATATTGATTTTTATTATCTATTACTTGATTATTTTTGAATTTTAGTTGATAAAACCCGATACCTTTGATTAATATTAATCCATAATATCTACGGTCTGTAGCTCTTCAAGCTCGGGTAAAGGAGGAGAGTTGGGTATAGGGTTAGCAACCCCATTCTGTAGAAAACTAACTCTCTAGAAAAGCACTAATCAGAAAATAATGTCTAGCACTTTGGAGGGAATTTAGTATCCATTTACTCTTTGAGGAAAATTCATAATTGTTTTGTTTATTTTTTTATAACACACAGATATAAGTAGCTATTTGTAGAATAAAACAATGGAACCAAAATTTAATATTTATGGTCAATCAAAGTTATTTGTATAATTTGTTCTGTTTGGTTTTTTAAATTTCTATAAAGAATAAAACTGTCATTATTAGGCAGTTTTTTGTTGATCTTAAACATCACCATCTTTTAACTGTATCAGTTAATGATTGTTGTACCTATTACGATAGACTCATCTCTGTCTGATGTAGTTTTATTCAAATAGTTGCTCATGAGAAACATAGACTCTCGCACATATGTTCATCCTTTAAATTTCCCACAACATATCAACACAGTGAGATGAAATTATCAAAACAAATATCAGAGTAATTTCATCATTTTGAAAAGAGCAAGAGAAAAAATTCTAGGAGAATAGAATGAATTCATTTTATTTCATTGGTTCTCATCAACTGCTTACAACCTATGATATTTAAAACACAATTACAAAATGGGTTTAAATTACTTACATGAAAGAGGTTAGTTGGAAGTTTTGTTGAAGACACATTAATATAATATAGCAAGGGTGTAAATAAATTTAATAGACTGAATATTGTAAATAAATACCGTATGTAAAGAAAAATTCTATAACATTGATTATGACAACAGTTCAAACGGCCATGACCGTTGAGATTAGCAATCATCGACTTAATGAAATGATGCTACATCCAAGCTTGGTCGTCCTTATCATTCATCTGACTTACTTCGGTATCGGAATAAGTCGTGAATCGAAGGAAGTGGGTTGGTTGGGTATAATTATACATGTTCTTAATAATTTTCCATTTCATTTAATTGATTTCAAATGTGAAAATCCCTTCTTTAGTTATTTCTCATCCCCATGATTTCGTTCAGAATTGTTTCTGATATTACTTTATTCACTTTAATTCTTCTAAAACCTTTAGTTATTATAGCGAACAATATTTTAATGATCTTATTCCATTCACACCCCCTTTTGTTTGAAACACATCCGGTTGAAGTTGTACAATTTTTGTTGTTGTTTATCCTACAACCTAGTATTATGATCTCGATACTGCATCATTATATGTGTTAGATTTATCGAAGCGTCCAAGTCACCCGATTGAGATACGCGCAAAACCGAAGTTTCCAAAACAACGATTTGTCTACAACAGCGGTTCTTTATTGAATAATAAACAAAATTTAGTTACAAACCTCAATTTGTGAGGTGTCTGGGGCGTTTAGACGCGTCCTTCAAGTATGAAAATAAAAAGGCTTCGATAGTACAAAGAACAGCTGATAGATGTGTCTAAATTTGATAACAGTTTACGAACAACCGAAACCCGAACCAAGAGCAAACAATATGGAAGCTGTTTCGTTTAAACAAGTGCACAAAACTGTGGATACCCGTTACAATGATTCAGATATAGTAATTATAATGATAAATACAATGATAAGTACAATAAACGTTATAAGTATATGTGAAAATTTCAGAATATTACAGTACAACTTGCGTTACAAAATTGTTGGGAATACAACTGCTTACTGAATATAAATAAGTAGTATAAGACAACACAAAAGAGTACAAAGGGAACGAGTAGGAACAATGTAAGACCAACTTACTAATATGTATTCATTGTGTTTATATTTTACCACGGAACTATATATATATATATATATATATATATATATATATAAGTTATTACTTACCTCGACGTGTTTCTCGAGGGTCGTAATGATTCAGCCGTGTCGTGTTGGCTGAACCATTTTATCTGTAGGTCCTACCGTCCCAGTCATGTCGGTTAGAGAACCGTAAGACAAAAAGCAACGAACTCATGATCCGAAATTGAAGTTTTGCTGCTGGCTGCACCGAAGTGTGACGGCAATCGTGAGGTTAGAGGAAGAGCACTAGCTATAGATGACAAATCGATTGATGGTTTGGTAAGTTTTTATCTACTGAGGTGGTTGGGACATGTATTACTTGTGTCCAACCACCGACTACCTTGACGGACTGGTGTATGAGTAAGTTGAAAGAAATCTAGGGGAGGTTAGACCAAAATATGGCATTACTCCATGATGTAATTGACTGTTAACCTGAGTCATGTTGGTAGATACAGATTAATTGTCTTGGGTCCACTCAATAACTTCTATCAATTGTTGGAGACTGGTTGAAATCTCATAGTTGTTCGCAATAGCACAGCTGTATTCACTCTTTGTTTCCTCTCAGATCCTAAGTATCTAAGTTCTTCATATTCTATTATTTTTTATTTGAACGCATTAATATTGGTACAAAGAAGTGCCAAATAACATATACGCCACATAAACTTTAATTGTTTCAGTGTCTAACATTGGTCCAAATAAAAGAACTTGATATTCAACATCATGTTCTTGTATTTGGCTTGGAACCAAATTCAAGGGATCTAACGAGTCTTGTCGAATTATGTTTTTACAAAATTACTATTTTTTCTGTAACTGTAGTCATTTTAAAATCTATGTTATTTAAGTTGTTATATGGCAATTATGTTATATCCATTTTTGCTCTTCTTATCTTAGGCAAGTCTAATTCTGCTGATATTGTATATTCATTACAACAAAAAGCGATTGAACATGGTTTTTTGTTATTACCTGAAACAATTAAATCAATAATTATCACACCTTATCTTGTTCGAGGTAATCTATTAGAACATCGTCATTTATGTTTTAGAAATCATGAATGGACAAGTCACTATCCTGTTAATTTGAACAGTGATGATAATAAAAATGCATTTAAACAATTCGATTCAATTATTAAAATCTCATCGACTTCAAGTACTGAAAAAATAGTTGATAGGACCGTGAATTGGTTAGTAAAACATATTCCGTGTCATTTATTCAAAACACCAATTGATTCGCTGACTTTTGATATACCGACTTGGTTAATTATTTGTCAACGATTGTTACAAGACGGTTCAGCGTTTAGTGAACCTATTAACTGGATGAATTTAGCTTTGAAATGGCTTGAACAAACAAGTAATGAGCCTAATTACTTGGATTGTTTCAAAGATTGGTTCAAGTATGCACCAAATAACAGTACTTCTACAGCATTATTGATTGCTGGTCTTATTCATCCCAAGTAGGTAGTATATTTCTTTTGTAAAAACTAATAAATACTATCAAAATTTAATCCTTTGGTATGTTCATGTTATGGTTTGTGTGAAGAATAGGTAAATCATATTGTCTGTGGTTTCGAAAGTGAAAATATCAATGTAGGACAAACACACTTATGTATCTTTATGAAAGAGATCTGAATACTAGATGAATACGTCCCAATCACATATGTATCTAAAACATTCTGCTTACTAAAATGTATTTCTAGCATTTAGCAGTATTTAGCATGCCTAGCGAAATCTGTGAATATATATATATATATATATATATATATATATATATATATATATATATATATATATCAGCCAGTAAGCTTGAACACAGGAACAGGTACATATATGCATCAGTCCAAGTTGCCACACCTCATTAACACAATAATGTGAACACCGGATTCATAGAAGTAGTTAATTCGATGGCGATAATATATAAAAGAAAGATTGCATATAAGGATATAGTACAGAAACGAATGCTTAGTTCGTAGAAAGAAAGATACGAAACAATTTTAACCGCATAGTTTAAAGGAAGACAGAGAGCGTATACACCTACGCCATTGTGATAGATTCTGAGCCATATCACCAAGAGTCTCCAACCATTGGTTACGAAAGTCACGCGGACCCCAACCAAGTAGTCTGCATCTACCAACATGGCTCAGACCAGAAGTTGGTGTCTTCAAGCACTGATGCCACATTTTGGTTTGGCCGCCCCTAAATTTCTTCCAACCATCCACAACACTAGTCAGCATTGCGTATCGTGGTAATCAGTGTTCAGACATACGTAAGAACACGTGACCCAACCATCTCAGTCGATGATATATATATATATATATATATATACTGTTCGATAAAATTTAGATGAAAGTTCTTCAATAAATATTCATTTCAAGACGACACTTGGCACTAATAAGTTAGTAATACTAATCTAGGCCTCTGATAACGGTTCATTTATGAAATATCGAACCAAATTTATAAATAAGTTTGAAATTATTCACCTAATAATTTTACATGGTAGATTTTTATGTTCTTATAAATGATTAATTCGATTAACTAAAGCAATAAGTAATTGAACTTAGTACAGATACTTGAAAATCGTCGAATCGAATTAGTTTCAAATAAATTGAGCGTTGGGTAGATCAACAACCCGATTGCTTATTTACTCTGAAGAAGTGGCATAAATTAGGTTAAAATCATCAAAAGTACGATTTTCCTACTCACTCTTTAGTGTCGAAGAAGCTTCCATAAGGTTCTCCTATCCACAGAGCCAAAAGTTTTCTCGGTGTCGAGGAAGTGGATGTATAGTGACGGGTTTCGTTTAAATGCCTGCTCAGCAATGATACTTAATGTGACGATTTAGTCCAGACTGTTGCTTTCGAAGTTGGGAGTCCACTGAATCTTTCATTCGGTTCATTAACACTGTTGAAAAACGTTTCCTAATACGGATGGTAGTATGATACCTCTGGAGTTCTCTAATTTGCTCAGATCTCCTTTATTTATTAGCTCGATTACGTATCGTTCTTTCCAGTTTCTCTGTCAGTGGCATTTGTTCCACCTCGACTTCGCAATTATAGATTGCAGCCTCTCTTGAAATTGATCTTCATCGTTGTCTTTGCTATTATTGGTTAGTGCGTAACATTGGATAAAATCCATTTTTATTTACTCCTTTGTTTGTGGAGCATTTTCCTGGTCGTGACCGGGAAACAGTAGCATCTCTCCCGAATCTATCCTCTTCTGTTCAGGTTGGGTTCAATGGGTTCCACTGATCCTAAGCACCGTCAAGCTGTTTCTCCTTATTTCCGTAGCTTTTTGATTAGTCCTTTCTATCTCCCACATTGTCCGGACATTCTGTGTACTCATAAAAATTGTTGCTCTGGTTGTTAGAAGGGACGTCGGCCTCGTGACTTCTAAAGAATTTCGTCTTTCACTATGATGCGTCATAATTCTTCTGAATGAAGATCCTTCAACTCCCAATGCAGACTTTAAATGGTTGAAATTGTTCATTCTGGTTAGCATTTTTTCAGTAAGTTTTTTTCTGCGGGATGGGGTTGCTGACCTGATGCCCAGCCCTACTCTTTTGTTCGGACTTGGGACCTGCAGTTACTTTAGAAGAACTACAGGCGTTGTTGTTTTGCTTACACATTTGCAAATGTTTTCTTTTATAGGTCTCGAGAATGGGCTTTATCGGTTCTGTCGGAGAGAAACGATGCAATATACGATATTATTGTTTCTGATTCTCTTAATCACCTTTCTGGCGAAAATCAATGTTCTTGTAAGTCTCACCAATCGTGAAACTCTTTCAATGTTTCTTTTAAAGCTCAATATCTGGTAGATGGTTGAAACTATTTTTTAAATTTAGATTTCTCTTTTTATATTTCAAATATTCATTATTGTTATTGAAAGTTGTAGGGACCATGGAATGAAATAAGTCACGCTTTTTCACCTTCCAGTCACGACTCTAAGAAATGTCACTTTTATTGCAAGACCCTGGATTACTATTTACCAGTAATTTTACGATATATGGAACTGTAGTTTGGCCATTCAAATTTCATTGCTTTGGTTGAAGACATGAAAGTTTCAAAGGATAATCGTTTACATTGACTGTTTCACAGTCGATTCGAATTTATCACTAAGTTGTTAGAATTTGTGATTACTCTTTCACACACTATTAATCGCAGTCAGATACATTAAGAAACAGTTAGAAACTTTATGAGGAAAGATAAATGGTGGATAGCAGTGGAATCCAGGACACGCGTTTCATCTTATTTTGGACCTGTCAGCTAGATGCACCCGTATCCCTGAGATGATGTTCACTCCGGAAGTCGCGTCCTGGATTTCGCTGCTAGCCACTATCCATCTTTGTTTATAATGCTTTTGACTTAAGGGAATACTGTGGCAATATGCACAGGATACACATATGCCAATAAGAGATTGATCAATTGCAATCCTAAACACCAATGCGAAGTTTCAAACAAACAATACAAAATGAAGTCATTAATTTTGTAGGATATAACTCAGATGGATATCAGTTCAATTCCTTACAACATCTAACTTTCATCCTCACGGGATACAACACGACGAAAAGTATCCACCTAAACTATAAAGTTACGTCATTTCATATTTGTAGAATGCATCTCTAGTAACGCTGACAATGATGAAATCTAGAAGTTGAAAAGTTTTCCCAATACTTTTCTACTTCTGATAATTTAAAAACCTTTACTATTGTTTGATGTAGTAGCTGAAATTATCTCAGGATTTGGAAAAAACAAATACATTGGCAGTTGCACGTCAATTATACAGAAATGGTTTTGACGCTCCCACTTTACAGGTAATTTCTATTTTCATCATATATCATTTTTTGTACTTATGTAATTTTAAATAATTCAAAATTTCCTTTGTACATATATCTTGTGATATAACCTTGTACACTCATGTTTGAATCCACAGTAATGATGCCTCGACTTAGCGACCTGATATGTTATCTCTTATTGACCCACAAAGAACTCTTCTGTTAATAAGTTTTAATCAAAACACGAGGAAAGATATCCGACGTTACCTTTCTATCTTTGATTCAAAAACCTAAATTTCAGGATAACAGGGTACCTTACATCTGAGATCATAAGCACCTATCTATAACATTTACGGCACAAAGTCTGTAAAAGAAGTTTGTGATCAATTATTTGGAAACGGGTAAGCATATAACAACAGTCTATCATTCAAACGGAAGCTTACAGGCTAAAGATTATAGAAATCTCAAACTGAGTGTTTGATGAAATCCACGTTGAAAAGAAGCCTTATGATGCACATTCAGTACGGCAAGCTCACGAAATAAGGATAAATTTTCTAGTTCCTCAACCTCTATGTGTATTTACCTTTTCAGCTGCTCTTGCATAGCTAGTTATATTGGTCGCAAAACTAGGCAAATGAATCGTCGTATTTATGAACATTCACTTGTTATGGTTTATCAAAAGGTAGTTGATATTAGTCATCACACGACGGCTAGAGACGTTATCGGACGTGGCTCAAAATAGAAACCAGTGGCGATCCTGCTGTAACTTCCTCTTACTTCATAGAAATGAACGTAACTTCTTTAACTGAAAGAATTCTTCTTGATTGTATTTTTGTTAACTGAACTGTTTCTCCCACCAATGTTACTTGACTCCCATACATTAATTTCTGTTCGTTGTTGTTCTTTTCTTATACGCACTTTACGTTCTCTATCTCTTCACAACTTCATTGTTATTGTGTGGCGCATATGTATTTAGTGCCCCCTTGTGCCAATATCTATGTCTTCAAATAAATAATAAAAAAATAAATGACGTCGACAAAAAATCCAGCGTTTGTAGTTACCTATAAAATCTTACCGAACATACTCTATGGTTCCAAAATCAGACTCTTATACATACAGCAGAAGCCATAGAAATATGTATCAAATAAACCTAACCTCTATATACAGTCTCTGAATTAACCCTGAGGTTTTAATTAGATACTATTAGGTTTTTCAAAGATTTTCTTTTAAAATTTTCCAGGCTTCGGTTTTGTTAATATTTTTCTTTGTAATTCCTACTTTACGTAACCAGTTTAATGACCTTCTTACCTCACTTTCATTACACCCGCTTTACTAATGACTTATGATTAGTCTCACGGGTAACACAAAACATAAATTTGTGATAATTAATTCATTATAAATATCCACCTTAGTTTTACTTTTCCAAATGTGTAAGTAACTGCGCACTGCTGAGGAGTCCCACAATAGGATGAAACGGCCGTCCAGTGTTTCCAGGTTTTCCATAGTGGTCTAGCTTCAACTGACTCATGATCTTAACCATTGAAACTAACTGATTATTATATTTCTAAATTAACGCATCAACACCTAATTATTATTGACTTCCTACTCACATGTAAAACATACTAGTGTGGAGATTTAATGAAGAACTAATTGAAAACGGATGTTTCTTCACTCATGTTTTTTTAATGTCACAATGGGAGTGTTCAGTGAAAAGATATCTCTAGATAAAGATTATTCTGTAGTTGTCTCTCAGTAATATAGAATAGCTGTAATCTTGAGGTAACTGTCGCTTTCTTTAGGATTGAACCCCACATAACTCATCTTCACAGTCTAAAACGCTTAATTATTTACTGAAACCTGTTGTCTCTCGTAGAGCATAGGTCTCCAGCCAGGATTCACCAATCACCTCTGCCGTGAACTCTCATTCCCAGTTGTTACCGAGTGCTATTCATTCTTTTAATGTCTGCCTCAAGTTACCAGTGGAATGTATTCTTCAGTTTGCCTCTTCTATTGTCTTGGGGATTCCAAAATAAGGCTTGGGATGTGATGTGGTTTGATGACTTTTGCAATGTACGGCCTATACACCTTCATTGACTTTTCCCGATTTCCCCTCCAGATGGAAACTGGTTTATCCTGTGCTAGAGTAGGATATTGCTAATGTTACCTGGTTAACGGATGTGGAGTATCTTGTTTAAAAAGTTTTTTATAAATATCTGTACATGTTTGATGATGATTGTAGTGATTTCATAAGTTTCAGCTCTGTACAGTAGAACTAATACCCTACCACTGAGCTATTCGTAGAGTAACTGACATCCTGTAAAGTTTTCATCTGATTGGTATCTAATACTTTTATGGAATTTTGTTCTCTGAGCTGGATGGTTTGGTCGTGGAGCTTTAGTCGTTCTTCTGAACGACATCATCAGAACAAACTTCAGATAGAATACTTTTAAAAAAATTAAATTATGTCTATATCAATAACCTTTTATTAATAATAATTATTTCTTTTGTCTCACAGTATATTATTAGCAAATCGCCTGAAAATGAATACATAAATGAGCTTGTTCAATTGTCTGTAGCAAAGGTTAGTTGATGCTTACTCGTTTTTTTTACGAACTTCTCATGTGTCGGCAAAGTTTACCAGTAAATTTGACAGAGTGATGATATTGCGTTAAATTTGCTTTGTGTTTAATGAGTACTCTTACTTCGCTAACTAATATCAAAGTTGCTTTGTGGAATTTAATTTTCTAGAATAATAATTATGAGTATTTATCTTATATTTTCATAATTGCTTCTTTTAGTACTTTACAAAATCATATATTTCACAGATTGAAATCATGAGTCAGTTGAAGCTAGACCACCATTGAAAACCTGGAAGCACTGGACGGCCGTTTCGTCCTAGTATGGGACTTCTCAGCAGTGCGCATCCACGATCCCGCACCACGCGGGGCTCGAACCCAGGACCTACTGGCTTCGCGCGCGAGCACTTAACCATTAGACCACTGAGCCGGCATCCAACGGTGTTAATGTCTAACTTCAACCAATCCACGAAGTTGCGCCACCGTACACCATTGTCTTCAGTGAGTTCCTATCTCACAACAGACCTGGTTGAACTCCACTGGTAACGGCTTCTCACTAGAACTTCGGGAGTTTTTCCTGAAGTCAGTCACTAGTGAGCAGTTGATTATTATTATTAGAATGGGTTTTGTGGAGATTTTAGAAATTTCACAGATTGAAATCATGAGTCAGTTGATCCCGCGTGGTGCGGGATCGTGGATGCGCACTGCTGAGGAGTCCCATACTAGGACGAAACGGCCGTCCAGTGCTTCCAGGTTTTCAATGGTGGTCTAGCTTCAACTGACTCATGACTTCAATCTGTGAAATTTCTAAAATCTCCACAAAACCCATTCTAATAAAATCATATATTTTTGGTCTTTATTCAGAGTACATATTTCTGATAATGCTCTTAGATACATCATATCAATAAGTGCATTTACCTACCGATTCTGTGATATATTGGTCCATCAGTGACCAATATGCAAAACTTATAGCTATAGACTAATTTCATTCTACACCAGGATGGTTAGTATGAAACTGCTTCAGCACCCTTGATCGTAGAGATTTTGACACCACCTCTCTGCAAACATCACGCATTCGTTCATGTCGCATTACGAGTCCCGATGATGGTAAAGTTGCTTCATATGACTATCAAAACCGGTAGATGGCCAACCGTTAGTGACGTAGTTCATCGTTTTCTTAATGATTAGGTCATTTCTGGAACGGCATCTGTTGAATCTGTTGAATCAACATCATATTTCAGCCAATCCGTTAACGACATATTATGCTACCGACCAATAGTAGCACGCCACGTTGGAATTCTGGAACGTTCCATCATGCTCTGATTGGCTAGGAGCCTTTGGCTCCTTTTGGACCTCTGGAGGCTCCGTTGAAGTTCTCCGGAAGCCGACTCAACAGTTTCATAGCAGAGCACCGACCCAACGCAGACTGGAAGATGATTGAAGACTGTGCCATACTTCAGGGGCTTGTCTTATCGGATGTGTTACGGTACTTAACGGGACATCAGCTAGCTGCAGCTTGTCGAACCAACCTAAAACAGATAAATGTAGATCAGCTGGCGCTACGTAACATACCCCAGTGAACGGCGATTCTGACGTTGTATCTATTTGCAACCTAAATGAATGCCTATTAAGATTAAGGGTAATGAATTTCTTCTCATCTAATGTTGTACTCTGATAGGATTGTAATAGGTTCAACGAATTTGTGCAGGGTTTGGAAACAGGCTGTTTAATACTTTTGGACTGATTTGGTATCCTCGTTTACCAGGGTCGATCTCTGTAACCAATGGATTTACATCTCTTGCAACGATGATGTTTAAATGGACAGGTTCTTACGAAATGCCATATACCTCAGTGCCAGTACGGAGCTGGAGTATTGTTCATAGATTGGACTGAGCTCGAGTGAGATGAACTAGTGATATTAGGTGTGAATTTAGCTGTTATAGATATCAAACATCTTTCGGACTACAGCAGCACAGTTTTTTTATTCTTAGCATAAACAATTATTTGTTTATTATCTTTGCTTACTTATATTTTATTACTGTTACATTATACTGTTTTTTTTTCTGTATTATTTAGACTAGTTGGATTACTCCAATGTTAGATTTCATATCGGAACACTACCCTGATAAAAAGTTAACGTTTTATAACAACCTATTAACTGTGTTGAGTAAGTTTACTCTTTTCCAATGTTTTATTCGATGTTTTCCGTAATGATTCGAAAGTAGCTTACTATTTTTTACTTTTATTCAAATCTTATCTGGTTTATATAATGTTCTTGGAATTCTATCATAATGTATTTCGCAATTATGATTGGTATTGATTATTGATACACAGGATATAAGATATTTTTGCCAATCAGTAATCACAATAACTGTATATTGTATAAAGTTGACAGTATTAGTTTGTTTAATAAAATCTAGTAGTTGGGTAGTACACTTTGTTCTTTACTACTTTAGACTTTCGAATGTAATTGCATGACTTTATTTGATTCACACTACTTATTATGACAAAAACAAGCATGTTATAATTGTCTATTTTTTTTTCTTCTTAATGCTAGGAACAAGATCAGATTCTCGAGATACCTTGATTTTGGTTTCCAAACTTCCTCATGATTCAATATCACAGATAGATCCTATTAATAGATGGTTCTTGAATACAATTTCAAAATTGATTAACTTTTCTAAAGTGGTAGGTTTTTGTTTATCGAAAAAATACATAACAACTGTTCATCTCTCTTTTTAAAATTTTGTTCTTAGTTGTTGAGTCTATTCAGTGTAACGGTTTAAAATAATATGGTCAACTGAGTCCTTTCTTTAGATAGTAACTCTTCGTTACTCGTTAGCAGTTGATGGTTGCTTTTTCTTTAATGATGCGCCTTTAGAAATATTAAAAAAAGTTTGTGTGTAAGTAACTTTGTGAGAGCCAGATACAGTGTTGCGGATCAATTCAAGTGTAGAATAAGTCACCTTTGAAGCTTTCTTGGCTTTCACTTTGCAACATAGAGTTGTAAAATAAAATAGTTCTATATTTTCCTAACATCTGTCAGTCCACCATGACTTCTTGTTTGGGATCATAGAGGTTGTCCAACAGCAAAGGCTTGAGATGTCTTCAGAGACAACTTAGTGATTTTACAGCTGTTTTTTCAGCTCGATTCCTTGTCACTAGTTAGTTATACTTCTAAACTGAACGAAATCGACCAACACTGTTTTTAACCTGAATTTTATCTTTTAATTTATAATTTTCCTATTTATTTATCCATTGATTGTATGATCTTCCCACTTCTTTATTCATAATATTATCATCTCTTTTTGTATAGCACAATTGTACTGCCCTATTGTACCGAGTTTTTGGTGTTGTAGTTGAATGAATTTCGAGTAATTTGGTAGCTTACATTGTGCCTAAATGAATAAGACAAGCAGATTATCTGATTTCGGTCCATGTGATTATTATAACTGATGATCGGAAACGATAGATAACATGGTTCAAAATCTTTTACAAATGGCACACGTACATTCACTCTTTTCTCAGAACCTGAGTCGTGAATTGTCCTTATACATATTTTAGTCATATACAACTTCCGATTGTGTTACTGCTTCTACTATTCTGGGATTTGCTTTGATAATTTTATTTTGGTGTGTTAACATGATGCGGCAACCTGAACCAATATACATATCAGTCAGGTTCTATATTGCACGTGATAGAGACTAAATGGATTGTGAATACATAGCTTTCGAGGAATATATTCTGAAAATCTTGTCAATCTCCTTCCAGACCATTCTGTTTACTTTCTGTCTCAGGTAATATATGAATTCACAAATTCATTTATTCGAAAATGACCAATATTAATGTAATCGAGTTTACATTTATTTTCTTTGAATTATATTAAATTAACGTTTCCATGGATTTTGTCTCTATTCTTCTTTTATCTCATTATTTTTTTCTACATTTCTTTATATAGTTATCTAATTTTGATTATATCAAGTACACCAACTAGACACTATTACATTATTTTACATTCTAATTTAATAAATGAATATCATATCATTTTTTTTTTAAATTTTTGCTTTCAGCCTCAGAAACTATTGTTCAGTGATTTAAACTCTATTTTATCAAATACTGGGTTATCATCAAATTTAGTTTTCTATGATCTTTGTGCAGCGATCAATAGTTCGAAATATCAAACCCTTATTGAATCATTGAAAAGGTTGGTAACTGGCATATTTTCCAGTCTATATTCCGTTTTCATTTAGCAGTATCATCAGAATTGTAAAAATTTGATTAGTGCTAAAACACTATTCAAATTTTGTTTAAATATATCTTTATTACATGAATTCTCAGATTAATTTATCTTACGTTAGTTCTAGACCCTTAATTTAACAGGTTGTTGGGTGAACTGTTTTTAAAATAAACCAGTTTAGCTTGTTAAGGTTAGTCGAAAGAGAATTATTAAGTTAGGTTTTGACTTAGTTGTCACTCTTCTGCAAGACGCACCTGTTATCTTGAAGTTATTAATGCTTCCTGTTAGATTGGAAACCGTGTCAACCAGTTTGATAGCCTGAGATGTTGCAAATGAGCTATTCGAACCGCGACTGGTAAGTATCAACTAACACGAAACATAGGCTGAGTTTCTTGCTGAGTACCTCCGATCACGTAACATCGAAAAATAGTGGATGAAATGTCGAGTCACTCGGGCTGGCATTGAAGTTACAACTTGATTGATAGAATTCAATAAAACATCGGGAAAGAGTAAACCTACTCAACAAAGTTAATAGATAGTTATAAAATGTTAGCTTCTTATCAAGATAGTGTTCTGATATAAAACCAAATATTGGAATAAACTATCTATTTAGTTCAATTGTTTATGACTTCAAAAGTTAATCCAACGAATGAATTACTTTACTCTATTTTCCAAAGTCTATTTTAGTAAGTTTTTGTATTGAATTTAAAACGACCGATTGTGCAATAACTTTTTTGTCTGTAAATTTAATCGATATTTTCCTTTTTTGTATCTATATTTCACAGTATTATGGATGAAAAGACATTGGATATTGTCGTATCGTTTGTAATATACTTTATACTGATCAATAAGGGCGTTACTGGTAGGGAGCTATATAAAATAAACACTTTTTTATGTTTTCGATATATTTATTTACTGAAACCTGTTGCCCTTCGTAGATCATAGGTCGCCAACCAGGATTGATCAATCACCTCTGCTTTGGGCTCTCATTCCCAGCTATAAGAATGGTTCTTTGGTCTTCTGTTTTTCTCCTGTAATCCTCTTTTTCACTTGTCTGTTTGCTTCTGTGTATTTCGACCTTAACCCTGACGTTGTCTGCTATTGCTTAATACACAGACGAAAGAACTTATAGCCGATTCAATATAAAACGTGTTCATAGAAGATGAGTGACACATATATTTCGGTATTTATTTCTGTCTCAGTTATTAGATTTTCACTCTCTGTTCCTTCACTTGCCTGTCATTGCAATTGATGTGGTGCTTTTCTTTGTGTAATAATTTTGTTTGCATTACAGACAAAAATATCAAAGAATGGTACAGTCTCATCCAAAAAAAACTATTCCAACCACATCAAACCGTCATATATCTTTGGCATTGGTATAGAGCTCTTCCAGGGTTACTGTCAGTCATAAGCCCGCCTAAAGGAAGTGGGTTAAAAGCTCCATCCCTTAGAAAAAACCTGCTAAAAAATCACTAACCATAAAAAATTATTAAAACTATTTAAACTCTATCGTAAGAGTTGAAGGGTCTTCATGCTGAAATGAATAGATACAACTTAGAGGTGCTCTGAATCACTATGACCCATTGTTGTATTCAAGTTGGACAGAAAAGATTGGCTTCAGGAGAAGTACCGTTCTATACTGTTCATAGAATAATTGTCTTACACACAAGGAGTTGCATATTTTACTTGGAAGCTAAAATGTAAATGAATGCTTCAGAAAGATACACTGCTTTGTATGGATTGATGTAAATTTATAAACCGTGATATAGCCAACTAAGTTTAATGTAATAATGATGATGAGGGACTTCTGTTACGAATTTCAGTAATTCTACAATTCATTATGGATAAAATTATACTTTGCAATTAAATCGCTTTACAAATAAATAAATATACTACTGATCATTATTATAGCCTTTTAACTATTTCCTTCTTGTTGTTCCTTTTTTTTTAAAGAGTTATATCAACTACTTCATTTTACATCTCATACTCACGAAAAGAAGATATTATTTCTGTTTTGTAAATATTCTCAACCATTCATAAAATATAATCTAAAGTATTGCATCCTTTCACAAGGACAACACTATAAGTAAGAAAATCAATTCATTGTCTTAATATTCTTTTCTCAATTGAATTTGTAAGATTATACTTATAACAATTCGAAATTTATCATTTATTAATAGAATATTATTCAGTTGCCTGTGTTATTAATGGTTGTCAACAGGTTAGAAATCATTAATCAGCTTCTTTTGATTTTAGCAGTTAATTCTGTCACTAAAAGATGTACCAAAGAAGTACATTTACCTTAAACAGACTCTTCATGAACGCTACTGGTCAAGTCAGAGGTTTTGATGAACTTTTATCAGAATTGTCAACTTTTAGTGGTGTTTACCAAAGTTATAAAACTTCCCCGGTTTTTATTTACTTTTTTCGTAGATGTCATTTTAGAGACTATACTTTCATATTATGAAGCTTCATGGGTTAATCTTCTAGCACGAGATTCAGTTGTTGACTTAAAATATAGTTCTGTTTCGTGAAGACACCGACAATATCAAGAACGCAGAACCTGCCGGTCTACTGAGTCAAATGCTGCTTTTAAGTCAAGAAAGACCACCATTATCGGACGTCGATAAGCATGCCTGTGTTCTAGAACCTGACAAATGGTCACTATATATGGTCGATGCAGCGACGACCAGGTCTGAAGCCAGCCTGATTTTCTCGTGTTTGCAGTTCACGAGTCTTAGTTAGGCGTCCGATAATTATTGAGGCTGATATTTCAGATGCTATATTGGTGAAACTAATCCCTCTCTCGTTGTGACAGTATGATTTTTACCCTTTCTTATATATTGGGACGATAAGTGATTGCGACCAATCAGATGGGATTACGTCCAGTTCCCAGATTTTAGCTAAAATATTAGTCAACCTAATCGCTAAAATTGGGCCACCATCCTTAAAGACCTCTGAAGCCAGTCCATCTGGACCAGCTGCCCTTCCTCGTTTCAGATTAACTATAGCCTTTTGAACTTCAGCTAGAGTTGGGCACCTACTTCAATGTTCCATTCACACTGTCTGAGAATGGAGGTTAGTTTTAGAGTAGCTGAAAACCAGTTGAACTGTTCCTTAAAGTTTTCCTCTCATCGTTCTGAACAGATAAGAGTGTGGTCTTTTTCCCATATCGTCTCACTTGCACTTGACTTCTTAATTTCAGTTTCTTTTATTAATCTGAAATGCTGTCTGGTGTTAACTACAGCCACTGCCTTTTCCATCTCCTTTGCTTTCGATGCCCGCCACTGGTCACAGTCGTTCCTTAGACTTTTGGTTAACATATATCTGATTTCCTCTTTATCATGTTCAGAGGCTGGTGGTATGCGTTTACGAGAATCTATTATTGCAAGAGACTTAGTAGGAATCTATTTGTTGTTTTGTAACTGTTTGGTTTAAATCACTAATAGATGTCACTGTTGTTTCCACAACTGTTCGTATATCTTTCCAAGCATCAACTGAGTCAGCTTCGTTTTCAGAAGTACCTAAGTGTGACTTTGGTTGTTCCTGTAATCTGATTTTGGCTACCTTGTCACTCAATTCAATCATAATGGATCTTCTTAATATGTTTTTTGGTGTCCTACGAGGCACAAGCAGATGCGTGCCCGTATTAGAGCATGATCGGAGTCCAAAGAGGTATTCCAGAACGAGCGACATTCTTCTATCGAGCCTCTCTAACGATGACTGATGGCAATATGGCCTATTTGAGTCCACCGTTGGTTTGGCGCAGGGGGTCGCCATGTTAGACGATGTCTCTCCTTATGCTTAAAATTAGTTTTTGCTAAGAATAAGCGATTGTCTGTGCACAGCTGCAGAAGACGATCACCATTATCTGTTCGTTGTGCCGGAATACCAAAATATCCACCTAAATTTCTTTCTGTTTGGTTGAAACTACCTATCTCGGGATTGAATTCACCTGCTACGAGTACTGTGTCTGAACGTTTGGCTTTCTGAAGAAGCTGAGAAAGCTCTGTAAAATTCATCTTTCGTTCCATCCAGGCTTCAGTCATTGATAGCGTAGGCAGAAATGACGAAAAGTCGACGACATGTGTGCCTATCTTCCCGAGTTCTTACTGAGCCGTTTAGCCTAACAACACATAGACGACTGTTGGTGGAGATACACTCTAATGGTGCTTGTTCTTCCCTCGTACTTAGTGTTATCCATCAATACTCTTGAAAACACCCTACTGGTGTCACAGCTCTCTACAGTCAGCAGTACAATTTTGCCTTTGGACCTTTTTTTTATTGCTTTTAGTCTTACCGTTCTTTAACCGACCTTTCTGGCGTGGTCGGACCTTGAGGAACAGTTGTTCCAGCCAGTATAGCTCGGTTGCTTCATCACGATAGGCTAGCCCGACTAATACATCAAGTAGCAGCAACTATCGGGCAAACTAACCTTAGAGTAAAACTTCTACTCGCGATTCTCATCCTCTAGTGTGCCAAATGACGCAAAAGTAGTTGGGGTCATCAGAACTGGTGAAGAATGCTGTTTACGTGTGTCACTAGCAAGACTTTGTACTTATCATGATAGAAAATGTTTACAGAGTTAGTTATATTATTTTCTTTTATATTTAATTGAAATAGTATTTTTGTTTATTTTGTTGTAATATAATATCTGTTCTGTATAACATTTGTATTTTCTAGCCAATATCTATATTAAAGTATTTTACTTTATATTTTGCTCTTTCTTCCACAGTGGTGATTCATTAGATTGGTTATCAATGTCTGGTATGCAATTTTTGGAAACCAAACCACTACCGATTAAACAAAGTGAGTATAGTAATAATCACTACTTATAGTTAAGTTGTCTGTTTCTTATTATTACCGTACATGTCCTATTTAATTAATCTGTAACTGAGCTCTTCAATCGTTATCCTTTGTGGTTCATAAATATTTATGGGCTTGGATACTGAATTGTGTACACAAAAATCAGTATTCATCAAGATGTATGTACGTACTCTTGCTGAAAAAAGGTAAACGACCTATTATCTGAATTATTTTGTCTAATTGTAAGCTAATGTTGTCTAAAGTTTGCAGTAGTCATTCTAATAAAAACCTGATATTATTCACCTTCTTTATATGATACAAATCAATAATCAGTAATTTATATCGTCTGATTAAAGCAATTTCTTTTTTCCACAAAGAAACCTGAAATTGGCAATTCTACATTATGAAACCATAATTTACATCTAAAAACTTTTCACTTCTTAGATTTATATTTTACAGAAACAGTTTCAACTAAATCGAATTGATTTTGTTAATTTTATTTTCTGTTTTAAAAATGTTTGTATAGAGGATAATGTACCAGTGAAAACAAATGAGGATTGTATGGTATGTTATATTGATAACTGTAATATCAAATTCATTTTTTTTTCCTTTTCAAATTTTTGAGTGTTGAGTAGTTGCTTACCATTCGAAATAAGGCAGCACTAGATAGTTGTTTTGATTGTTATCAGACTTTAGCAAGGAGGAAGCTGGAAAAGAAAACATATGCATATCGATTGAAGCTATTGTATTAGATCAACACAAAGATATAAACGTCTTTAAAGTGTTAATGTATCTGCTTTTTTTTAAATCTATTCCTAGCTACGTTTCGATTTTAGTCTAGGATTCTAGGTGATGAAACAATTCTCGTAATGGAAATTTTCTATACAATCATCTTTTAATCAGTGATTTAGCGCCGCTCCTGTGTAACGTGAAATTATTGAGGAATGAACAGTTAAGCATACATTTTCTTTGAAAAGGTTAGAGGTTTTGAGATCATTCGAGCCTGTGCTACAAATATAGAATCAATAATTGACCTAACTTGAAATGCCAGCTTAAGTCATAGCAACTACTTACTCGTGAAAGGACATAGGCCATCCACTAGTATTCTCCATCGAACTCCGTCCTGAGCAATCCTTTACAGTTATTTCCACTTGTTATTCATTCTTTTCATGTTTGCAAATCCGTCACCATTCTCGTTCGTTTCTCCCAGTCAGTTCTTGTCGTCCCATGACATCTTGATACCCGGTGTTGTTCATTCGGAGTTTGGCGTTTACTTCTCCCATCAGGTTGGTCAGGTCCTTTCCTGGGCACCTATCTAAAATCCACTGAGGCCTCATTAAGTTGGTCGTTATGATCTTCATTGCTGTATGGGTGGGTGCATTACACTGGATGATAATAATCTTTGTTCGCTCCCTTCTTTGTTTTGAAGGATGCTTCGATGATCGTGGATGAATAAGATTTCGTGCTTCTTTAAATAGAATAGTTACAACTCTGTGTGTGTGAAGCGTTTTCTTCTTCATGACCAGAAAAAAACAGCGTCTCTACCAAAACTAATCTTTTCTGTCTAATTTGGGTCCAATAGGTTTTACTAGTTCCGGTCACTGACAAGATTTCTCTCCTCATTTCCGCAGCCATTTGACTGATTCTCTAGGTCTCCTATATTGTCCGGACATCCCATGTATCTATATTGATTGTTGCTCTGGTTGTTAGGAGGAACATCGGCCTTGTGACTCCCGAGGAATCTTGACTATCACCATGAGGCATCATAATTCTTTTATGTGAATATCTTTCAAGTTGGAGGACAGAGTTTAAGTGGTTTAAATTCTTTTCTTAACTGGCATTTTTTCAGGAATGTTGTTATCTAGGTTATGGACTCGGTGACTCTATTTTCAATCCTCCTTCTTTACTCGGGCCTGGTATCAGAATTAACTCTTGAAGTGCTACAGTCAGAGTTAACTTTTTAAATAGCTGACTTTAACCAAATTATGATATAGTAGTTATCCATAAAACTGCTAATCGATTGTTTGAATCATGTTTGTAAATAAATTCACGCTAATTGGAGTCCTTAAAATTATATAACTCAGTAAACCATTAATTATCCTGTGTGAAATTCCTCAGAATGTTTCATATCGACATAGATTTATTACATTTTCTTTTACATTGTAAGCATAGATTTCTCTGATTTTTTTCCATAATGGATTTTCATTATACCCTAATGCTAAAATTAATGCTTAACAAAATCGTCAAATCGTGAATAACAATGGCGTGGTACTTGTGAAATCACAGTTCAATAAAGCGGAGATATCCCATTCATTGATTTGTTCAAAATAACATTTGTTATAGAGTCAAATTGAAACGCTAGTTTCTTTTATTAATATCTAAATCAGATTAACTGATTCACCATTTACTTTGTTATAAGCCACACTCTAAGCATAAGAGTTAATGATACGTGGTAACTCAAATCCAAGTATATCAACAGGTCTCGAACCTGGAATATTGTGTCTGAATGTCTAATGACTTAACCGTTAAGATACCGCTATTTTGGATTATAAAGTTGCTTAATCCTAATTCTGTTACATAGTGTATTTTCATATATTAAAAAGTACTTGAATTAGTCTACCCTTATTGTAACTTGTCATATTTATCTTTTATTCCAGGAACTGTCACCCGAAAAATCTATAGCTGATATCGCTCAATTTCTTGTTAAGTAAGCATATATTTTTTCTCGTTCCATCACAGTTTCGTTTCAAAAAAACTTCAGTAACATTTTTCTTTATGTCAACATAACATATACATTTGATGGACGCTTCTCCATTACTCTTATTTCCTTACCACAAACCTTGTGTGTCGATCATATTCAGCTTATTACCAGTTATGGCATAAACGATATAGCTTCACCTAGGATTATGATATTGAAGAAAGCATCCACCCAAACTCCCATGTATAGTTTCCGTTAGTAAAATCATTGTTTTAATCATCAAAAATTACAAGTTCACATATTTGATTTCTCATTCATCATAATATCTTTGGAATTTATTTTTATTAAATCAAATCACTTATATGTCACATATCACAAAATGTGAGCCTAACTCGGAGTTTCTTCTAAAAATTTGGTTATTACAATACATTATAAACATGGATCATTCATTTATAAGTAATTTATAAGTTGTCTCATGGTTTCTGTTGTCTGTGTATTGAGGTAGTTGTGTGAGTGCTAGTGGTGGGGTGACTAATGAGATCAATTTACTTGCTATCTTTGCTATAATCATGATGTCAGTCTGAATGTCATAAGTCAAGCTTTTAACGCATCAGTGACGGTAGTTCTGCTTTGTGTCTGAGAGTCAGTCAGTAAGCTACAACGTAGAACCAGGCACATATATGCATCGGTCCAAGGTGCCATACCTCATTAACACAACAAGATGGACACCGGATTCATAAAAGTAGTTAATTCAGAGGTGGTAATATATAAAAGAAAGATTGCAATAAGGATATGGTACACGAAGAAAGAATTAGTTCGTAGAAAGAAAGATATGAAGCAATTTTAATCTCTTAGTTTAAGGGGAGATAGAGAGTATATACACCGACGCCATTGTGATCGATTCTGAGCCATGTCACCAAGAGTCTCCAACCATTGGTTACGATAGTCACGCGGACCCGACCGTTGTTGCTACCTTGACGTAGTGGTCGGGCTTGCCTATCGTGATGAAGCAACCGAGCTATACTGGCTGGAACAACTGTTCCTCAAGGTCCTACCATGTCAGACAGGTCGGTTGAAGAGCGGTAAGACTAAAAGCAACAAACCCAAGGTCCGAAGGCGAAGTCGTACTGCTGACTGTACAGAGGTGTGACACCAGTAAGGTGTTTCCTTCAGACAACCAGCATGACAGCGATGCTGCCTTCCCAGAAGGAGGGGTGGGGTTAGAAAAGGTCGACCCTGAAAATGCACACCTCGCCTTATCCCACGGATATCCGTCTTCGGCGGTAAGGTCCGAACAAGTACGGAGCTAACACAGAAATTACTCATGAAAAGGTCGTGTGTGACCGACCTCAAACAGTTGTCCCTTGGGCATTGCGGTCACGCTCTCAGGTCACTAAGACCACTTCCAATCCGATTTCCTTTTCAGGTACTGTTATATCCGAGTGGAGATTAAATTACAGGTAACTTCCGAGGACTATTCATGGACTAATATTCTTATTGTATAACTACTCAACAATTACACTATGTATATTTATATCCCTCTTATGACAAGCTTTATTTTGGCCTATAATTTACGGTTCTTAAGTTATGTTCAGTTTATTAACTACTGCCTCCCACATTCACAGCCACTTTTTGGGCTTATTTGTGTACAAATATTATTTCCTATTTTATGGTACGTTGCGGTCTGTGTGATTGATATATAAACCAAGTATGCCTGAAATAAACGATCTGCTCTGATTCGGAAGCTGGTATCTTGTTCTGGACTCAAGTGGGAGGGCTCGTAGGACATAGGACCAATAAGGACACTAAACTGCCCACACCGGTTAAACGTCATTGGTTGGCCTAGTGTGAAGATTCGTATAAGTCGTGTGATAGAAAAACCAGACACTCAAGGTCATAACAATTGGCGACGGGGATTTTGGCAAAAACAAAATAATTGGGAGACGCAAGGCCATAACAGGTACCTCCAGAAGAACCCTTCCACGGTGTGAGCAACCGGGAAGTGATAACCGCCCTCATACCTCTAACAGCACTCAAGACCACTGTATTCATAATCAACCTCCGTCTTCACACTTTGTGCCTGAGAAGCCTCACCTCTCCAAGTTGGGGATGTTAAGAAACTCTTTGTGTTTGATCATTGTTGTTTCCAAACGATTGCTTACATTCATCAACATTTAGTGTTCGTTATAAAGAGGTTTGATGGTTTGTGCTCGAGTGGAGTAACGATTTTTGCGTTGGTGTCACCACTTTAAATGACCGGTTTCGGTTGCTTGTACATGTGCAAAGTTACCATTACTGCTGCTGCTGCTATCACTGTCAGTAATAACAAAGATTAATTTTTTTTCTAATCAATCTTTGTGGGATACAATCGTTATCACCTTTTTTTCTGTATTTTATTTTCTGTTAGTCAACATAAAAGTAATGGACGTGTGGGATATACCGTACAATCAATAGGACAATTGTGGGATTTGCCAAGTAAGGGATTTTCGATACTCTACTACAATATTTGCACTCCAAATATTTATCTTTAATATATTGGCCAGTAAATGAAAATTGAGAGTTTTATGTGTTGATCTCATAGGGTGGCTGACTGATTGACTCTCATAGGTTGGTAATTAACCTAGCAAACTCTTAGCTTATAGTCATTCATATTTGAAGTGATTTTCAATCTTATTCACTACTTATACGTCACATAATATGTAATTAAATGTATTATTTTGCTGCATAAAAATGATGCAATTTATTGACTAGTTAATTTTTGTTTTAATTACCACTGGTTTGGGGAGCTTCAACAAAAATGAATCTTCTGTATTTCATAGTTTTTTTTTCTTATTATATCTATTATAATAGCGAATCTCTCATTCGTACACCATTTACTGCTTCATGGCAGTTAACAACAGAGTTAGAATATAAACCCACGTAGAGAAACCTTAATAAATGAAAGGAGAGGCTATGGTTAATAAAAAAGTCACAATATCTTGACATTCGTTACGACAATGGTCAATCACTCTATTCAACCAAATTAAAAACTAACTTGTTCCTCAAACATTGTGTAACTCTACTACTTGGGACTATGTTTATTAGGTTCTGATCATAATGTTCACATCAGTACTGGGATGGTTGTACATCTCAACAATTAGTCTCTAATAGAACAAAATAATTATGCCAACCTCCACTTATAGCTCCTATTCAATATAAACGTAGCTTACAAGCGCAAGTAATATAAAAAATATTTCTTCAATAAGTTCATATTTTAAAAGAAACTGAATAATCTAATTCTGAATAATCAAAACTAAACTTATAAAACCCTGTAACTGTTAGTCCGATGTCAATTAATTTTCTATCCTTTTATCAACATCAGTTTCTTATTGTTGATCCTCTCTTTCTGTGTTGTTGCAACGTGAAATAAATTAGATTGATACTCCATTATGCCAAATCGCTCCTTGTTGTATATTTCGCAAATTGTGTTCATCGTTTTATACCTAACTAAATAGAGTCGAAATCATTAAAAAAAATTCTTCGCGCATTTATTTCAGGTAGATTGATTTTATTGCATCACTTTGTGAATCTTGGAGCTGTATCTTTATTCAAACGTATTTTGTGGTCTTTGCCTAAACAAGATCGGGAAATGTTATACCCATTAAAATTTGTTGCTTATATAATACAGTAAGTCTGATAATTTACATGTCTTATTTACATGGTTTGTAATCATATGTTAGGTGTTAGTTTTTCTCGTTCTATTTATGATCCCTTCTGAAAAATGGTATTTTGCGTCCGGATTACGTATGGTATCATAAGTATAAAGTAACAGGTTTATCTCTGTTCCTGATGAAAATTGTCTTTAAACTTATTCCTCTTTCCTAACAAGTGTTTGATCAAACGTGTCTTCGAAGAATTGGTCACACATATGTTGAGACTAATAAGTGATCAATCCTGAGTTTAGGAATATGGTACGAGGGAAAGTTGTCAAAATGGTTGATAATGTTGTGATTGTTTATTGACTAAGGTGGTTGCAGCATGTATCACACATATATCAAACCACCGGCTACCTCAACGAGCGATGTCCGATGGTATAGGGATATGTTAGAACAAAGAGGTGGTCAAACATGAACTTATCCATAAATTCACTAACTAATTATTCCTTACATATTGACTGGTACGGACTATCTCTTTGGAAACCGAGAGTTTACCGTTATCAATGGTTTGAAATGTTAGTTGAAAGAATCGTTTGTAGTTATTCAAATGCATTCACTATACTGCAGTATTTCAATTTTTCTCTTCATCATATTATTTTCTCATGTTAATGCAGTATGGAAACTTATGCCAACGCGCATTTATGTACCGTTCTACGTTGATAATAACAGATTGACTGACTGTTTTTATTTTCTCTTATATCTTGAGTTTTAAAATTAACTTATTCCATTTTTCCCAAGTTCATCCTCTCTTTTCGAACTATATTCTGTATGCATAATTTTTCAACTTAATAACTTCTTCTCGTTATATTGATTTGGTTTAACAACCTGCTCTGATTGAAATATGTACGAGGAACTATTTTGCTTCTGAACTATCTTTAAGTTACTTACGTTTTCATGCCATAAGTTTACTTTATCGATTTACTTAATTATTTCATACCACATTTTGATTTCTTATTTTACAAATGTACGTTTGTGAAAATATTTTATCACATTTATCATAATAAACAATCTATATACCTTTAATTTTCTTAGGGCTTTTTCGAGTTCTACCCTTACTGGTGGTATGCAAAGTGCGGAAAATGCAAATTTTGCTATTGAAAGACTAACAGATTTACCATCTAATCAATTAGCTACTATTATTTGCAGTCCACACATGGATACTTTGTTTCAGTGTTGGCCTACTAAACATATAAAAAACTGTAAGCAGCATTTTTCTGAATGTCTTTTATGAGTTTTTCAGAAGTATGTCGTGTAATGCTTGTGTAGTGGAATTTATTTTGTTATTCTCGAGAAATTTGTTTTTGAGGGACAGTGGCATGTTGGTTAGGACTCTTAGTTCTCAATCGATAGGTTGCAGGTTTAAAAAGCGCTCTGACTAGTTTTTATAGTCTCACTAATCCTAACATAAACAATGTGACTAAAATCGAAATACATAAACTTGTAATTAAAAAAAAAATAGAGGATATACTAATTATTTTCTTGGAAAGATTAGTGAAAATTTATCCAATTTTTGAAGTTCTGGTTTAAGAAATATCTGAAAAATATTCAATTTGGATTTTTTTTCTTTAGATTCACAGTTCCTTGTTAATCTCAACTCCTTGGAATGTAACGATGATAATTATTCAACTATTCAATGTTTAATTATGAACTTTTATATTCCAAGATTTTTATCAAAGAAGGCATATCATATTCATTCATTCTTTGTTTACTTTCTTATTAGTGATTACAATTGTAAATAAAATATCCGAAAATGGTAATAGTTCAATTAGTTCACAGTTAGCTGGAGTTTTAGTCAATCGTGGATTATATAGCCAGATTGATCATTTGATCAAGGTAAGTAATATTGCTGTCGCTTTTCTTTATTGATGCTTCAACAGCCGATCTTCACGTTAGACAGTATATTATCTGACACTTCTTAAAAGCTCTTCTCTCCCTCACACACAAACATACCAACAAATATAGATGAAGACAGCCAGTGAAGCAGTAGTAGGCCCCAACATACAAATGGGAAAACCAAGATTCTGGAACATGGCACACTGAGCACCAACCCAATGACACTTGATGGAGAAGCACTGATAGAGGTGGAATGTTCCACATACATAACATGATCAGCATCACCGATATACAAGGAGGATCTGATGCAAATGCAAAGGCAAGGGTAGTCAAAGCAATGACAGAACTTCTACAACTGAACAGCATATGGCGCTCAAAACAACTGTCCGTTAGCCAACATCAATGTCATAATTTCCAATACAAATGTCAAAACAGTTTGATTGTACGGAGCTGAAACTTGGAGAACTACTACAACCATCGTCAAACACGTACAATTATTTACAAACGGTTGTCTATGCAAGATACTCAATGTCCGTTGACTGGATACCATCAGCAACAACCTATTATGATAGAAAATAAGTCAGCTTGCACTTGAATATGAAATTAGGAAAAGACTATGGAGGTGGATAGGATATTTATTAGGGAAATCCTAAAACTGCATCACGAAGTAGGTGCTAACTTGGAGACCTGAAGGCGAAAGAAGAGGAAGAGTAAGGAGCGTATTTCGTCTCGAATCAGAAGTAGACATGAAAAGAATGAATAACAAGTTGAAACAACTGGAAAGGATTTCTCAGGACAGAGTTTGCTAGAGAATGCTGGTTGGTAGCGTGTGTTGTTCTATGAGGAGTAACAGGCGTGAGTAATTAAACGAAGACACTCCTCAACAATGCTCATCGATGACCCCACCAATGTTTGAATTTATATCACACATTTCAGACCACCAGATTCGCTTATCGTGTAAACCGTAAACTAATGGCCTACACCTACTCATTTGACCTGTTATGGACTAATATTAACTCTTGGTTCTTGCTTTTACTGGTTATTTTACACGTAACATTGCACTTCGAATCTAAAGAAGGTGTAGATATATGCTTAGTCCTTTTTTAGGAACAAATATATTTTTTTGTTTTATCTCAATGAGTAGGAAAATTGTATTTTTGATGATTTTGACCTAATGTAAGCCACTTCTTTGGAGTAAATAAATAATCATATGGTTTATTTAATCTGAAGAATCGGCTTACATCATGTCAAGAAACGTTAGAATTACAATTTTTCAACGCAATGGGATATAACAAAAATTGTTTACTATTACCTTTCTACTCAACGCTCAATTTATTTGAAACTATCACGTCCAACCTTGGCATTGGTATCTTAGTTTTATTTGTATATTTCTAGTCAGTAATATATAAACTATTGATTTTCCTGCTTTTAAATCTTTAGATCAATAAGCCTATACCGCCCATATTTTTAGCTGGTAGTACTCGATTTCCGCTAACGGAATCATCTTTCCTATCAACATTGGAATTTGTGAATACTCATAATCCTGAACATATTTCCGAATTTTTGGATCATTGTAAACGTAACACAGGTATGAAATAATGATGGTATTAATGATTAAACAAGTGCACATAATTATAGTATGCTTCAGATGATTCACAAATATTTTTCACTTTAATAATTCTCATTTAACTGAATGTTTACTGCTTGAAGATGTCCGCTTCTGGGTATGTTGTAGGTTATTTGATCATTGAATTAGTTGATAAAACACTAGATTCTATATCAGTAGCATTCAGGTTTGGACCTCTCTTCCCCTTGCTTATATGGGACGAATTGTATGCATTTAGGGTTTTGGGGATTTTATGCTATTTCATTGATACTTTTTTGAAGAAATGCTCACAGTTTAATGATAACCTTTTTCATGAAAAAATGAATTATTAAAAATCAGGGAGCACTGAATAGATATTTTTCTCCAGTTTGAGAATCCTTAAAAGTACTGATTCACAATTACAAATATCATTACGCTCAAGAGAAATCCTATCAGAGGTATCTGGTGTGTCGTATGTTGTAATGGTGATCTCATGACTTTTGGTTTTCTTGATCTACCATGGGCTATGGGACAGTTCACGACGCTCTTGTTGTGTGCTTCTTTGTCGGTCCATGAACCTTATGTATTATATTGATATCCTGGTCGGGTTTGGATATCGTGGTGACGTTGTCGAGCTATTGGTTCGAACACTAGGTCCTACCCATTGCAGGTAGGTTGAAGAAAAGTAGGAATAAAAGAAGAAAACTCATCGTCCTAAAATCAAGTCATACTGCTGACTGTACAGGACTGTGACGACAGTAAGGTATTTCCCTCAGAAAACCGGCATCTGCAGAGACTCCGCCTTTCCACAATAAAAGAAGTAGGTTAGAAAAGAGAAACCCTAAAAATGCCACACCCCATCTTACCCTACAGATTTCTGTCGCCTGAAAAGTACAAAACTAACATCTTAAACTACTCGAGAAAAGGGCGTACGTGATCAACCTTGAGATTTGAAGTCACGCCTAAGTCGTCAAGACCATTTGTAATTAAGTTTCTTTTTCAAATTCTTTATGAAACAGTGCTTCTTTATTATATGGGCCACGGAGGAGTGGAAACTGTCCCCATTCTTCTAGAGAAAAAAAAACTATAGATTACCGAATTAAATTAACACCTGCGTCAATTTGTGCTACCATTTTTAACGCTTGGATGTAAACTACACATTTTCATTGGTACCATCTGATTTTCCGTACATAGATGATTCGAACTTGTGATCTATTGGATTGATTATTCTAAATCATTAATCCCCGATTGCCCATCAACTTTAATTGTTATTAATATATTAACTTTGAAAGAGTCTAATTTTCAAAATATAAAAAACGAACATATATTCTTTCTTAAATGACTATTTACTAAGTTTTATATTTTGTTTACAATGTTTATCAACTAAAACTATTTTCATGGTACTTTTGTTTGTTTCTTTCGATCTTCTCTTCTAGAAAGATATTCTTCAGAGAAACGAAGCAATACTTGATTAGAGAATAATTGTAAATAGAAAATTGTTAATGATCCCAACCAAGTTATTCGTCATACTGTCTCTCTCTCTCTCTCTCTCTTTTGATTAGTCTCTAGTTTGTTATTATCAAGTAATGAAGAGAGAAAGACTGTTGTACAAAATAAAGAAATTTTTTTTTCATATTTGGATATATAGTTGTGTTTTTCTTGTTGTTGTTGAACATATTTTACACTGGTACTTGCTTTCAGTTATGTCTTGTCTAATTATAGAACAGTTATGTAATTTTACTACGATTTTCCTCCAATAGACTATAGTAATGTCAATTAATATCTTTATACAAATTGTGTAGCAAATAATGCTTTCAATTTGTATACACAAAAGGGAACTCATATGACGAAGCAGAATACAATATCTTTGAATAAATTTTATTATTCGATAGTTATATAAGTGGATTTGTGGTTATTTCTCTGCAGTTTGTGATCTTATCAGTTATATATGACTAAAGGCTATCTTTGTGTTTGATGAAGGAACCATTTCATTTAATATTAGTGTTACTCTAATTCTTCCACAGCGTCTAAGCACTCAGGAACAGAATTTGATCACTTCATATCTTTCTTTCTACGAACTAATTCTTTCTTCCTATACTATATCCTTATTGCAATCCTCCTATATATTACCACCTCTGAATTAACTACTTTTATGAATCCGGTGTTCATCTTGCTGTGCTAATGAGGTATGGCAACCTGGACCGATGCACATATGTGCCTGGTCCTACGTTGTAGCTGACTGACTGACTAAGCACTCAGGTAGTGAATTCACCCTCATACCTCTAACAGTACCCAAGATCATCTTGTTTACGATCGAATCTATTCCCGCAACTAACCGTTCTTGAATATCTTTATCACTCTGTGGCACCAATACTAATGATTTGGGTTCAAAGAAATGTTATTTCTGGTTTCCTGAAACCACGCTCTAAACTACATGTTGAAGCTTTTATTGTTCGAACCTTGTGTCAGATAGGAAAATAGGCTTCTTTAGATAAGACTCTAGAGTCTCGCATTATTGATTTATGTTGTCTCCGAAACGCGCATAAGGGATCCACGTGCAGTTATCCACTTGACTTCATCTTGTCAATATAAAGAACCAGCATGATTTACCCTTCGTTAGTCTGAAGATCTCACTGCTATCTTCCGAGTTCTGAAGCAGAACAGGCTTTGTCAGACTTGGTTTCAATAGGCAGTCACTTGTGTGGTGTCCGACCAAACGGGCCTGTAAAAACGTGAAAAGATAGGGACACGCCGTTATCTCTTCTTTGTCTCTCCCAAAGATTGCAGCTCGGATGAAGATAAAGATGAATTTTATGGGAAGCTATCACACCTCTTTCAAAATTCTCAGCGCTCGGATGCAGTAATAATCTCAGGTGATTTCAATGCTCAAGTAGGTAGACTAATCCAAATCAAAAGGTATTTTGGTGGATAATGGCGATCGACTATTTCTAGCAAACACTAACTTCAAGCATGAGAGGAAACACCGATTGACGTAGTGACCCCCATAATCAACTCAAATAGACCACATCGCCATCATCCATAGTCGTAGGTGGTTGGTAGAAAACTGTCACTCATCCTAGAACACATGTTCAGACTCAGATCATGCTCTAGTTCGAGCACATATTTTTCTGCATTTTACTGGACATAGAAAAGCCACAATAAGAAAACCCTTAGGGTTTAAGTTAATGATAAAAAGGTTAAGAATGTATTTTAGGAACAACTAGAGAAATATCTAGTCAATCATGAAAGTGATATCCGCCCCGAGAGAGCTTGACATGGAATCGGAAATGCTGTGAAAAAAGCAATGATTTCGACTAGTAACTTGAATCAAAACGTCAGGAAAAATCAGCAAATTTCATCGGTGTCTATTGTATTGACAGATGCTCGGAAACATCCTGCCGAACACGATGAAAAGTGGAAGCAGTTTAAACGTTAGCTGATAAAAAGCCTATGGAATGATCGTGGGCAGTGGTGGGAAGCGAAAGCAGAAGTGATGGAAAAGGTGGTGGCGATGAGTAACAGTAGATAACTGCTAAGAATTACCAAAAAAATATGGCTGTTAGTTAGAATATCTCGGAAAACGACTGAACTATTATTCACTCTCAATCAATGGACAAAGCACTTTAGTTACCCTCTATCTGCGAGTAACCTTAAAGGCAAACTGATGTAAATTTTCCATATCTTAGTGAGACTATTAGCAATCTAAAGTGAGGGAAAGCAGGAGGGCTTGATGGACCAACCGTTGAGAATCTTAAGGATAGTAGTCCAGTTTTTGGCAATTAGATTAACAGATCCTAGCTGAAATCTGGAAATGGGACGTTATCTCATCTGGCTAGTCTCGATCGCCGATCATCCTGGTCTATAAGAGGATAAAATTCCTCATGTAACAATCGCAGAGGAATCAGTTTAACTATTATAGTGTCCAAAATATTAGCCCTAATAATGCTTCGTCGTCTAACTATGGCTAGTGAAAAGCAAACCCGAAAACCTGGACGTGCATATATAGATTAAATACTTACCTTTCGGCAACTTCTGGAACACAGACGTCCGACTATTCTTGTATACGTTGACATGAAAGTGTCGTCCGACTCTACTGATCGTTATGTTTTGTTGGTGTCTTTCGTTGGAAGGCGTATCAACATAGATTGACTAGTAAGCTTCATCATCCTTGCGATTAGTGGAATTTCTGTACGTATGTTGTAAGCTCATTAGGCATTACCCGTACATGTTGGAACTACGATTTAGGCAGAGAGCAGTGGATAGAGATGGCAAGTCGGTTGATATAGTGAATCTTGGAAAATACTCAACAGAATCGGTTACTATGAGCGTCATCCACTTTCCCTGTTTTATTTGACCTTGTTATAGGCATGCTTTTAAAGATATTATTTTTGTCGTCTGAATTACAAGAAGTTGATTTACCAGAAAATTCTCTTGTTGATTTTAGATACATAACTGACATAGGTCTGTTGGATTAAGATACTGACAAAATTCAGAGTTTACTAGCCACCTTTCGAAATGATGCAAACGTATTTGGAATGCGGTTCTCTCCCTCCAAATACAATCTATCAGCTTACATCACAGCCTGATTATTGATGGAGAATGATGCAACTGTACACATCAATCGACTCACTTATCTTGGGAGTCTTATTATTTCTGATGTCTGACAAACTTTCTGCGTAGGAGAAATATCCGTCTTCCAACCAAAGGAAGTGTATACTGTTCATCAGTTCTTTGTATTTTAGTTTATGAATGTGAATCATGACCACTAGCATTAGAGAATATTGGTGGTTCACTGGTATATGTTCGTATTTAGTCATTACGCTCATTTCATAAAATAACCGAATGAGCAATATTGAAGCTCCGTATCAGTCAGCTACAACGTGAGATCAGGCACACATGCAACGGTCCAAGTTGCCACACCTCACTGGCATAACAAGATGAACACCGAATTCATTGAAGTGGTCACTTCATTGGTAGAAATATATGAAATAAAGATTGTGTACAAGGATATGATACATGGAGAAAGAATTAGTTGGTAGAAATAAAGACATAAAGCGATTTTAATCTCATGTTTTATGGGAACACAAAGAGTGTATACACCGACGCCGTTGTAATCGATTCTGAACCCTGTCACCAAGAATACTCGTCCCTTAATTAATAGACGGATATCTCACCTTCGCCATAGGTGACGCAAGTTGACAAAAGTCAGACGAGTTATTTGATTCCATGCTGAGATTTCGTTAGACACCAACCTATTAGGGTTGATCGAACTTTCAAGATAAGTGAAGTTGTCAACGCGTTCGACTACTTCACTCCCTATCCTTAGTTCAGGTGTAGACGCAGGCCAGTCCTGAAGCAACAACTTGAATTTAGATGGAGAGAAGCGCATTCCAAACATTCTGGCATTGTTGCTTAGTGCTATTAAAAGTGTTGGGGTGATCCAGAAAATTGCTTACAAAAGACAAGCAAGCATCAGGAAACACTAAGAGGCGTTTCGTCCAATCAGCGTTCACTTGGAGTCTTGGCCAGAAATATCAAGGGAGCGAAACGTCACATGCAGAGGCTCTGATTGGTTGGCTGCTACTATGTTTGGTAGCATTCCCAAACATTCCAGCGACCCAAGGACATTTAAAATAATATAAAAGCCCTATATTTCTTGTATTAAAATGAACCTTGGAGTAAACTACTTCTCGCATACTTTGAGTCTTCTCTCTCGTGTTCAGGTCGCTGTATAGTTCTAGCTTGGGGGTTACAGAATAGCTTAGGAGACGAATATAGCGTTCAATCTGCAAGACTTATCAAAAAGATTCTGCATTTTATCAGCGTCCCCACCACCACAGGACTGTGTCATCTGCGTATTCTAAGTCTATAAGTGGACCTCCTGGAAGGAGATCAATACCCAGAAATTCATTCGACGAGAACTTTACTTCCAGCAGTAGGTTTACAATGTAATTGAACAAAGATGGAGAAAGTCGACAGTTTTGACGGACATCACTTGAGGTTGCAAAATCAAACGCTAGGTAAGGATGGTAAATCAATTGATGAAATAGTGAGTATTACTTAACTATGTTTAGGATGTGTCCATGTATGATTATTTGACAACTATCTCAACGTGCAAAGATGGTGGACGCATAATTTGAAAACATTTAGGCGCGTCATCAGTTGATCAAATTATTGAAGTTGGGTTGAGCCATTTTGTTACATATAGACTAACCAGATTGAATATATACGTTTATCGTAATCAACGATTGCAAAAATTATTTAACAGAGGTCGACATCATCCACAACCATAGATGCAGATATGGTCGATCTGGTTCTGCATAGTGTGATGTGATGAGACCCTTGTAGCTTTGTGTATGCATTTGTAGCGGAATATAGTGCCACCTATAATCATTTCAATTGGAATCATGAGCCCATCGGTGGTAGAGCTCTATTAAAGTCTGAAAGCACTGGACGGCTGTTTTGTTATAG